GTACAACAAAACACGAGTTGGCACATTTCCAATAAATACGTGAAGGAAAATAATACTTTGGCTGTCCGTGACAAAGTAAATATTACTAAAAAGCTTCGGTATATTGTACGTACCATAACACAGGTCTGGGACGGAGTGGTGGCGTCATGTTTGGCACATTAAATTACGAACCCGGTGACCTGAGTCACCATCTGTGGAGAGTGATATCTGATATCTGCTATCAGAAGAGGGTGATATCTTCCATCAGTGGAGAGTGATATCTGCCATCAGTGGAGAGTGATATCTGCCATCAGTGGCGAGTGATATCTGCCATCAGAGGAGAGTGATATCTGCCATCAGCGGCGAGTGATATCTGCCATCAGCGGCGAGTGATATCTGCCATCAGCGGCGAGTGATATCTGCCATCAGCGGCGAGTGATATCTGCCACCAGCGGCGAGTGATATCTGCCACCAGCGGCGAGTGATATCTGCCACCAGCGGCGAGTGATATCTGCCACCAGCGGCGAGTGATATCTGCCACCAGCGGCGAGTGATATCTGCCACCAGCGGCGAGTGATATCTGCCACCAGCGGCGAGTGATATCTGCCACCAGCGGCGAGTGATATCTGCCACCAGCGGCGAGTGATATCTGCCACCAGCGGCGAGTGATATCTGCCACCAGCGGCGAGTGATATCTGCCACCAGCGGCGCGTGATATCTGCCACCAGCGGCGCGTGATATCTGCCACCAGCGGCGAGTGATATCTGCCACCAGCGGCGAGTGATATCTGCCACCAGCGGCGAGTGATATCTGCACCATTCTAGAGGAAGCCACCCACATCACTCGCGCTCACTGAACAGCGCGGTGGTGAAGCACGGTCAAACTTTCCCCTCAAACCAACTCGGCGGCCAACATCCAGCGGTGAATTGACACAGGTGGTTGGTGGGTGGGTAGGGGCGGCACGCTGTAAATAATTGGCACGTGTATGCACAGCGTGCAATGTTATTGCAGGTCAAAACTGAGAGCAGCGATGAGTACCATGTAAACTGTGCAGGACACAAAACAGTTACGTACAAATATGTCTTTGTGTGTAAGGCCATTTTTTTTGTAGGCTTTCGTGCAGTTATTTTTTTTGTCAACGCTTTCTGATTTTTAAGAGCGGTTTTGACCGTTTGATTGTTACAGACCGCGCGCATTCTTTTCGCCTCGGTGCGCAAACCAGGAGTGGTTTCTTTTTTTAAGGTGGCAAGAAAAGGTCACGCTGCGCTCTCATCACGAAGCAGGATACACGGGTGGATGCTGCAAGCTGCACGTGTGGAGAGCCGTTTAATTACTGTTCCCATGGAAATGCGTTTTTTGTTTACGCGAAAAACACTCTGGGAAGTGAATGTGGCAAGACGCAGCTGGAGAATCCATTATGTAGAGGAAGTGGCCTCCCGCTGCCATCCCTAACACGACAAACTTCATCCACTTGCAGCTTTACCAAATTGAATCCCTGCGTGTTAAGGCTAAATGCTCACGGGTCCAAGACTGTAACTTTTGCGTGGCATGTGTCCGTTTTAATTCGTTGCTGATGGGGTTAACTGTGATGCTGATGTCTGCTGCGGTCGTTACGGAAGGCAGGGGCACTCTAGGTTTGAGCAAGGCTGGAAAGATGCCGCACGTGTTTGTTTTTCTCCAAAACCGAGGCTGCATTTCACATACATTTAAACTGTTTCGCAATGAATGTAAAAAAATAGTATAGTCAAACAGTAAATCTCGCGATGTTAGCGCGCGCTATTATGCGTGGGGGGGCTGACTTTTAAACGTTTGTATATTTACAAATCACATTTCATATCCAAAGCAGACTTGTTTCATAACAACTCTTCTCACAATTAAAATACAACCAAGGACGTTTCACGTAAAAAAAAACACACGCACAGTGCACTTTTTCCATCCCTCTCGCATTTGCTTTGTTTACGCGATGTGTCACGCGGCATCATATTCACGATGCGATCGGGTCAACTTGGGACATTGCTCCGTAGCACTTCGCGCGTGTGTAAAATATCGGAACCATTTTATTGATGTTCATACATCGCCCGACAGAGAACTTTGCTGGCTGAAACAAAAGACCTGTATCCGTCCACGTACACACACGCGGGCAGACGTCCACGTGCGCGCACACACACATTCCATTTCCAGCAGAGTTTCAGTCTCGTTTGGCAGCTTGACACGCATTAGCCTCACTGAAAATCCTGCCAAGGGGTTCTCTTTATTCTTCATCAAACCTCTTATAGCCCAAGCTCAATCGCAATAACAATGGCCTTGCCTGCATCGCGTTGCATTTAAAAGCAAGCTGAAACACACACAAAAAAGCAAATAGCGCCTACCCTGGATGCGTGTAAGCCTTGGACGTGTGTGCTAGGCTTGCCTGACATGGCTGAGTGTAGTTATTGGCGCACTGCGCTCTTAACCCAGTCACCCGAATAAAATTCCTGCTCACGACAATAAGAGTGGGAATATTTGAACCGGTCCTGGGCCTCCCCTAGGGCCCTAGATCCACTCAATCTTCAATGAGTACCTGGTGTTGTGTGTAAACATCGGTACTGGGAAGACGAGGGTGGCCGGGAATGGTGTTGGACACCCACTCTCTTGTGCGCCATGCCGGCCTTCATAAGTGCTCGCCAAAGTATGTTGAAGGCTACACGTGGAATATTTGTCTATGATTTTGACACGGGTTAGAATATTTGTTAATGATTAAGACTTCCGCAGTCACCATCAGGCACATCATAGTGCTTTCAGTGATGCTATTTTGGAATGTACGTGACTGCCTGAGACAGAATTTAAACGTTCATGTCGTAGTGATGTTACGAGAAATGGATGCTTGGAAACGACCTGAACTTGTGGTATCTGCGGGCGTTCCTGCACACCCAGGATTATTAGACTGTGCTCCCACTTGGCTGACCCTGCAACTCGTTTGGCTCTGTCTCCGACTTCATATGCCGTGGCTATACGAGACCCCTCGATGTTACTATGCGACGTAAAATTTGGCGGGGAAGGCACATAAGTGATGTTATTAAAGTGATATTGCTTCTGATGATATCATGTTTTCAGATTCATCTGGAACTATATTTTTTCGGATTGTATGACATTTCGTATATTGACTAAATTGTTTTCAGATTCCTACAAATATTGGGAAAACATCCAGACTAAGTATTTTACATATATACAATACTAGCGGTAGTACCCGGCTTCGCCCAGGACTTGTATCCACCGCCTTTGTCTCCCCAGTACTCGTTTGAGGCTGAGTCGACCTAGGGGAGGCCTAGGACCGGTTAAAATAATCATCACCGGTGGTGGCCGTGAGCGGGAATCGAACTCGGGTCGCCGGGTTCGTAGCGCGGCGCGCTAACCACTACACTACAATGCGTCACGCTTCCATACAGACACACACACAGACACACACACATACACAGCGCGCTAACCACTACACTACAATGCGTTACGCTTCCACACAGACACACAATTGCTGAAAGAGTGCAGCACCGGTGCTCACGTTGATTTGCATGGGGATTTCCTCAGACTGTAATTAAAATGTAGGACATCTCACCAAGCTACCTAGTGGAGCATTCCATATCTGACATGAAATAAAAATCCTTTCTTTCAATATTTTCACGAAAATGTATATTTCAGTCGATGGGATTATTGGCCGACGTGTTTCTTTTAAGCATGAAAACTCAGGACTGGTTTCACCCTCCTAGCAGTCAAACCAATATTTTCAGTTCTCACAAATGACATTTTACCAAATTAGGTGAAAACCCAAATGTAGTATATTGAAGGGTTTTTTGTAGTCATGGTGACCGGGCTGAGACCATCAATCAACTCCCTACACTTGAGGAATCCGGTTTTTATCGCAGGCAGCTGGAAGCCAGATTCAAGCCAAGGACCTCGGCAGTGCCAGCTCGTTGATCTCTGACCTCTAAGCCACCCGACCTCCTTGCAGGATGTCTTTAATACCGCATTGCACCTTCAGATTGAGATGGCGAAATTGAATGTTCTTAACCTTCATTGGAATTGACGCTATATTTATTGCAGCAATCTTCCATTGAAACAACACTGCGTCGAAGACAAATTACTTCCTCATTGAATGTACAAACTTAAACAAAAAAGTAGTATTTCCTGAAAAGATGAGGCTGTCATAAACTAACTTGCTTTAAACAGACAAGGGGAACTCTCTGCAGTGTTTGTGTGTGTAAGTAAAGGACAGCGCATATTGTAAAAGTCTAAGGATATTATCGGTAACAGATTTGTGACTACTCCATCCCGGGTAGGCATAGAGCCACAGCAACAACCCTCAGTGTTGTTCTGCAGACGGAGCTACGGTTTGGAAATCTTACGCAAGATAATTTAACCAAAATATATATTTTAATTTTTTTTAAGTATGCCAACTGTTGTTTTTTTTGGTATAAATATGGATAATTATTTTAAAATATATATACAAAATTGAACTTTAAATTATTATTTAAAGCATGTCTTAAGAAGTAAACAATGTGGAGTACTATTTCAGGCCTTGTTTTGAAAACTCAGAGTTTATTTGAATGGACCAAAATGTTAGCTTTAATATTTAAAAAAAGCACATAAAATCTTGTTGTGCTATAAACGACGTTGAAATGAAAACAAAACATTGTTTGTTTCTAAAACACTTTCGCCAAAACTAACACCTATCAATCTGCTTGTTTTCGTTCTCTTAAAGATGTGCCATTTCCTGACTGCTAAATGAAATTGGCATTAAAAAATTATCTCACAGGTTTGTGTTTTGTTTTTGTAGGGCAACATTCTGGTTATTTTAAACCTTTACACTTAAAAAAAATGTGAAAAAATCAAAACAAGAACTTACACCAGTGTTAAGCGCCTTAATACGATAATTTTTGTCAAAGAACTGTATCATATTTACCAATAGTCAAACATTATTACATCCCCATAAAATGTTCACACTGTAAAAGTTTACATAAATAATTGAATGTCCACAACCGCTAAATCTGTAAATGTTTTCTTGAAAGTAAGTAGTTTATTAATCTTCTGCTGGCAAATTACAAGCAAATAACTCTAATAAGAACAACAATAATAAACAACAACACAACGAACCCCCTACCATGCACTACCAAGTGCCAAGGAATACATTTCACAACTTTACATGTCACGGAAGTAAAAGGAAATACATTGAAAATAAAAGTTACAAAATAAACACTCCAAATAAGACAGTTTAAAATTACTTGGGGGAAAAAAACAATAACTCTCAGAAATGGATGAAATAATGTCTGGTATAAACATTTCTTTTTGTAAAAAAACATCATTAATATTTGCAAGTAAGTGTAACAAAACAAGCCGAGTTTATGTGTGTGTGTTTTTTTTCTCTCAATGGGAACTTGTGTTATATCATTTGCACCTACACTATAAATCTAGGAAATCGGAAAATGTTAATAAATAAAGCAAAAAAAACTAAATAATTTATGCGAGCTAAAATTACAGAAAAAAATATCTACAAGAGCACTGCTTACGCCATTAACTTTAAAAAAAACCTAGCATCTTCCGAAAGTAGAAAATGCAAACTAATACAAAGTGCCAAACAACTTTAAAGCATTATTAATATGTTTATACTGTACATGCAAAACACCGCAAGTTCCTTTCAGACTTTTTCCACATCCAGTATCAGATTCTCTGTTAAAAAATAAACTCATACTTAAAAATAACTTACCACTCCACTTTCTCACCCTACATTGGCTACATCGCAATCTCAAAATTCGTCAATTGACTCTGCGGACTCAGAGGTTCGCATTCCGAGTTCATGTTTCGGTATCCAATACAGCGCAATCAAGAAACAAAGTCATACTTGTGTATTCTAGTAGTTAATAGAAAAAATGTGGAATGCCAGAACAGATGAATTGACCACAACCGACTAAAAGACAATACATTCAATTCTTACTCTCTTATATTTTAAAAAGGGTTTTTTTAATGAATATCACGTAAAAAACAAAGAGTTGCTACAGAGTGAATTTGTGTGGTTATAAAAATGGAGAAGAAATTCTGTAAATACCTTCAATTTGTACGTCAATTGTTACACACAGTGAAATGAGGCCAATAAATGCTATTTCAAATGAACTTATTTTTTTAAATAGAAAACCATTACCATATTACAATGTGTTGCAAAAAATTGTATGTTTCCTTATTTTATATATACACATTTTACACTCACTTTTTTACAAATGCTAAAACAATCCAAATATCTGGAGCATATTTATTCCATGTAGGAGTGCCGTTGAAACGTAGCAAATCACAATAAAAGACTTATCGCAAGAAAAAAGGTGCATAAAAGATGGCACCAAAGGGCCCTTAACGATGCCGAATGAAATCAATTTCACGCCCACAAGTGATGCGGAGCATTAACCCGAATGCTTTTCAACACGTAAAATATAAATGTCCATTGCCCGTCAGGCTGATAACGACCGGAGCGTTTGCACGCGGAGACTTTTAAGTGACCGATACGTTTATATCCCGAAACTGAGCTTAAAACGAATGACTGACTAGAGTCACACGTGGAATTATAATGCACAGACCATCCCTCGCATTCTGCTCGGCTTATCGCTGGGTTTTAATTGTTTTCATAGCTTAAGGTCTAACAATGTAACTTTCTCATGAGGGTACTTTTCTACGCAGCAGGCACCTAACTGCACGGTTTTGTGCCGTAGTAAAAAATAATAATGAGCGGGTCAAACCTTAAAGATTATTCCGACAAACTAAAAAAAAAAATCACAATCCTAGAATCTGAAATGAAAATAAAGAGTATTTCGACTACCAGCGTGCGATTGCGGGGGTAGCAACTTGCTATACGCGTGCGCAAGTGCATCAGTTCATTGCTGCAAGTTCTGTGCCGAGTGCTGGGCCCGGACCGCTGGTGGCTGGCGGTTTAGACGTGCGCTGTGGGCGTCGTGACGACGGCGGCGGCGTTGACCATACTGTAATAGCCACTGCAGCGAGGGTCGGGGTCGGCCAGCCTCGGAACCTTGCTCATGTTGTTCAGCGGAACTTTTGTGCCATTCGCATTCTTCTCCGCCTCGTTGTGCAGGTACACCGTCTGCAACAGATGCACGGGCATTTTGATGAAGCCGCATGAATTTCGCCACCAGCTTTCAAAGTAAGATGACAAGAATACAAATGTTTCAACTTGGAACGAGCACCTTATTCGCTCGCTCTCATAGAGAGAGATCGACTTAAGAGGCGCCAAGGAAGAATTTCGGACAAGCAGGAAGTCAGCCCCGCAATGAGTCGGTGCCAACAATTGTCCGAGCTCTGCGGTCCTCTAAAAGGGTGCGATCGGCCAATCCATGAGTGTTTACACGTGGGGGGAAACCACTGCGTGCGAGGGAGAAACACTGTATTACGCGCAGTCGACACAAGTAGAGCCTACATTTGTGTTGTACCGCATTCTCCTGGCAAGTCAGGGTATGGCACCTCGACGCCCACAGTGAGGGAGTTTCGCAACATTTGTGCGATGCACCAACCCTCATCTGCATATCGTTGGATTCTAGGCGTGCGCCACCCCCGTCTGACGAAGTCACAACAGTGACCAATGTTTAGCCGGAAAATTTGTGATGAGTCTCAGGATTACATTTTCATGAGGGTCCTGCATCGGAATGTTTGGCTTATTTAATTAATCGGAGCTTAGCATGTTCGAGGATACGGGAGTACCCGCGTATATGAAGGGTTTACACGCAATATTCTGTGCATGTATTTTAGTAGTGGCCTTCATTATGGGCAGCAGACAGCAGTGCAACAATTTTTGGGCTGTATTATGCTTCCACATCTGTGCTTCACCACACAGCACGCATTAGCATGGTGAAGTATGGTGAAATAACCCACATGACCCACATGGTGTGGGGGAGGTCCTTATCTAGCAAGAAGATTGACAAAAGGGCTGTACATGTACACTTCCTACAAATTAACGATCATCCCTTCTTACTTTGATAAGGGAGTCGTTTTTCCGGTAAGTACAGCTGATTAAAACCTGATATTCTCAGTCTCAAAATGGGAATGTACTTAGAATTATCATCATTTCAAAATCAAAATGATAATTCTGAGGCAGTCTCCACTCCAAGCACTAGCCAATTGGTAGGGCTCAGCTTAACTTTTATTTTCTTCCTTAGAATGGCGAGCGAGGCAGCCATGTGAGATTCTACAATATACAATACTTGCAAAAATAAGTTATCTCTTAGGTGCCTGTTGCACGTGCAATTACACCAGCATTATTTACAGAACATGGGGTTAAAGAACATTGACCTATAACCTGTTTTGTTACTATTCCAAAACCCAAGTAGTTTTTCTCTACGACACGCCATACCAAAGAATGTGAAATTACAGTGCAAAGCCAAGGCGCCCTATAGAGAAAAAATCAACGAGAGATGAGCGGTGATGATGATCATAATGATGCCGAAAAGGGCAGGGAGGACATTTTAAATTAAACTTTAAAATTTTACAAGGTAAGGCCCACTGAGCTATATATAGCTCTTTTTAAGAAGTTACCTGGCCACAAATGATAGCTCAACGAGAAGTAGCCTATCCTGTTGAAATTTATAGCAGCCAAATACTCCAAACTCGCGTTTCTAAATGGTTTAAAAACCGGAGGCCTCGGAGAAAAATCTACGCGACCACGGGGAGAACATGCAAACTCCAAATGTGCAGGCGTCAGGGTCGCGATCGAACCCACGACCCTCCCGTATTAAAAGGGCTGACAGGGTGGGGGGCAGGAGACGCACGTACCTTGACAGGCGTCTTATAGAGCTGCAGGGGGATCCATTGGCGCCGGCGAGACATGGTGAGCACGAGCAGCACGACGGCGAGGCCCAGCGACAGCAGCGCGATCACCACCCACGTGATCGGCTGCAACAGCCACAGGTCGCCGGCCTCGTTGCCCCCGCCGTCGAGCCCCGACGCGTCGCGGCTCGCCCCCAAGATGGAGTTGTTATCCAAGTCACCTGCCGCGAAGGGGAGAGCCAAGGCCGCGCTAAAGACATGCCCGACGTGCGATGCCAAGGGGCCCTGCAGGCTGGCGGGGGTGGGGGGGGTAAGGGGTTGCTTCTTTTCGCGTGAGGTCTTAGTCTATTGGCTTGGAAAGATGCTTTGATACATCGCGTCGGTGCTGATGCTCACCAGAGAGGCATAGCATCGTGTGCACGAGAACTCGTTATTTTTAATAGGTAGAATTTGTTCTTGATTTACAGCACTTTTCAATCCCAGCTGGATGTAGGCCTCAATGTGAAATGGCAGGTGGTTAGCCGCTCCAAAGGGACAACCATTGTTAACTTTTTGCAAAATGTTACTAATTGTATCGACGCCAAAGGGATAAAGGTCTGCGTTGGCCCCCAGCTGAAATGTTTACTCTTAACCTGATTGTAACTTGCTAACACAAGTTATCGACATAATGTTGACCAAAATGGAGGTTTTTTGGTGAGATCGTGTAAAATGTACGTAGATTTTACACGATCTAAACCAAAACCTAACCTAAAAACCTCTCATGGATAATATTTCTCGCGAAAGCCTACGTGTTAAACTGTAAAAAATTACCTTCTCAAAAGTCTGCGGGCTGGGGCAAAACATGTGACCGAAAGCAACGATGGCCAATGGTTGAGACTAACGACGGAGTACCAAGCAACATGGCCAAGAGTACATTCACCAAGGAGATGGAGTGTGACCATGAGAGTTGGCAATGCCATCGGTACACCTTATGGAACATGGCTGATGATGATGATGACGATGATGCTAATGAACCTGATTGTGAGTGCCAAGCACTCACCATTTCACCACACCACCTGGCTTTAGTGCAACATCTGGCCAGGAGTGTAGCTCAATTCTAGAGCGGCAAGGCTTACCGGTTGTTAGATGTTGCATTCAAATTGTGGCCAGCCAACGCCACTCGAGGGTTGATAAAAATGGCACTGCTTCGTGAAGCTGCACCACTTTGCAGTCACGAGATGATGTACTGATTGGCCCCTGCCATATGAATATGGACCTGCTAACAAAAAAAACTGCAAAGATGAGCGATGCCCAATTCTGATTTTGAGAGCTTGGGGACACTTCGACGAGCTACAGTGAGGGGAAAAAGTATTTGATCCCCTGCTGATTTTGTACGTTTGCCCACTGACAAAGAAATTATCAGTCTATAATTATAATGGTAGGTTTATTTGAACAGTGAGACAGAATAACAACAAAAAATCCAGAAAAACGCATGTCAAAAATGTTATAAATTGATTTGCATTTTAATGAGGGAAATAAGTATTTGACCCCCTCTCAATCAGAAAGATTTCTGGCTCCCAGGTGTCTTTTATACAGGTAATGAGCTGAGATTAGGAGCACACTCTTAAAGGGAGTGCTCCTAATCTCAGCTTATTACATGTATATGAATAAAAGGCGCCTGTCCACAGAAGCAATCAATCAGATTACAAACTCTCCACCATGGCCAAGACCAAAGAGCTCTCCAAGGATGTCAGGGATAAGGTTGTAGACCTACACAAGGCTGGAATGGGCTACAAGATCATTGCAAGCAGCTTGGTGAGAAGGTGACAACAGTTGGTGCGATTATTTGCAAATGGAAGAAACACAAAAGAACTGTCAATCTCCCTCGGCCTGAGGCTCCATGCAAGATCTCACCTCGTGGAGTTGCAATGATCATGAGAACGGTGAGGAATCAGCCCAGAACTACACGGGAGGATCTTGTCAATGATCTCAAGGCAGCTGGGACCATAGTCACCAAGAAAACAGTTGGTAACACACTACGCCGTGAAGGGCTGAAATCCTGCAGCGCCCGCAAGGTCCCCCTGCTCAAGAAAGCACATATACATGCCCGTCTGAAGTTTGCCAATGAACATCTGAATGATTCAGAGGACAACTGGGTGAAAGTGTTGTGGTCAGATGAGACCAAAATAGAGCTCTTTGGCATCAACTCAACTCACCGTGTTTGGAAGAGGAGGAATGCTGTCTATGACCCCAAGAACACCATCCCCACCGTCAAACATGGAGGTGGAAACATTATGCTTTGGGGGTGTTTTTCTGCTAAGGGGACAGGACAACTTCATCGCATCAAAGGGACGATGGACGGGGCCATGTACCGTCAAATCTTGGGTGAGAACCTCCTTCCCTCAGCCAGGGCATTGAAAATGGGTCGTGGATGGGTATTCCAGCATGACAATGACCCAAAACACACGGCAAAGTCAACAAAGGAGTGGCTCAAGAAGAAGCACATTAAGGTCCTGGGGTGGCCTAGCCAGTCTCCAGACCTTAATCCCATAGAAAATTTGTGGAGGGAGCTGAAGGTTCGAGTTGCCAAACGTCAGCCTCGAAACCTTAATGACTTGGAGAAGATCTGCAAAGAGGAGTGGGACAAAATCCATCCTGAGATGTGTGCAAACCTGGTGGCCAACTACAAGAAACGTCTGACCTCTGTGATTGCCAACAAAGGTTTTGCCACCAAGTACTAAGTCATGTTTTGCAGAGGGGTCAAATACTTATTTCCCTCATTAAAATGCAAATCAATTTACAACATTTTTGACATGCGTTTTTCTGGATTTTTTTGTTATTATTCTGTCTCTCACTGTTCAAATAAACCTACCATTAAAATTATAGACTGATCATTTCTTTGTCACTGGGCAAACGTACATAATCAGAAGGGGACCAAATACTTTTTTCCTTCACGTGCGACCACCTATGAATTAATCACCCAAAATTTACCCAATCTCTTCACAGCTCAGAAGCTAAGCGGGATGGAACCTGGATGGTACTTTGATAGGCGAGACCAGCATGCACAAATAGGTTTTCATATTGCTGGTAGGACTACGGTGGTGGGCAGCAAAGGGCAGTGCAGCAAAATCCTTTGTTGTTCTCTACTTCGATGCTTCTGTGTCTATGCTACACACATTTAACTCGCATTGATCGGCCGTGAAAGATTCTCAGTGGTGACCTGATCAATAAACTCTCATTGCCGACACACAGGCACAAGAAGGCCCTTAACCGTGGGCGCTGTGGTGGCTAGATGTTAACTACCTCGCCTGGTATATAGGCCATGGGCTCGATCAGACCCTGACGCCTGTAGTGAGCTTTCATATTCTCCCTGTGATCATCTAGATCCACATTAAGCTATCATTTGTGGCCGGGTCACTTCTGAAAAAGAGCGCCATAGCTCAATGGGCCTTACCTGGTAATACAAAGTTTTGTTGAATAGTTTAACCAACAGTGGATTGACAAATGGGCTGTGCATCCACTGTACACATGTGATCAGCCAATCGGCTTAATGCACTGTCGGTTGGCTGTGGCCAAGAAACAAAGCTCGCCAGGGGCCGCGTGACAGCCCCCAAAACGAGGAAAGAGGCCCTGTGCCATCGTCCGGCCCTTGCGAGTCAACATTTTTCGCCCGGCCTTAATACGAGGAACGCCATAGCACGGCGGCGTGAATAGAGCAGGGAAAAATAAATAGTGTCGGCGGTGCCGCGCGTGGGGCTTTCCCACGGGTATTGGAACATGGTGGGGGGGGGGGGGTGGGTGGGCCTTGTGGCGTGGTGCCGCTACGAGAGAGGGTGTCTGCCCAACGCGAGTGGCTAAACATAGGCGCCTCGTCGTCGTCGCATAGTCCTCGTGCGTCACGGGCCCTCGCTGTTTTGACGAGCGCAGCTGTTCAGCGAGAGTGGTCGGTTGGGGTGGGGGGGGGTTGGTGCTCACCTCGTGCGCGCGGAGGAGGCACGGCGGTGAGCTGGGCAGGAGGCATCATTCTGACCCTGCCGTCGTCTTCGTATTTTTCCACTGGAACATTGGTCGGCTCGCCCGACAGCTCGTCATCTGAAGACAAAGAAAAAGATGCGTCTTGTAGCCACAACAGAGGTTTGGGGTAAGTGCCGTTAGCGACCGCGTATGAAGGGCGGTAACGGCACACGAGGGGATGGGTGGCCAGCACCACGCCTGTCCGCCTTTGTCTCCCTAGCGGCGAGGTTTGCGCATTGCACCAGGTACTCATTTGAAGCTGAATTTGGCCTAGGGGAAGCCCAGCACTGGTCCAGATAATTATCATGAGCGGGAATCGAACTCAGGTCACCGGGTTCATATCGCAGCTTGCTACCACTGCACTACTGCTCCCCACACGCGTGCACATGCATATATAAGTGCATAGACAAAGATCTCCCTCCACCCCCTTGTATAACCTTTAACAGCCCGTTGGGGAAAGTGCTGTGGAGACATTCGACCTTGTGGAGACATTCACAAACCGATACAAGCACATACGCATTTATGAGCAACAAATATAACACGCAAGTGGCAATGCCAGCGACATAAAATGTGACCTCGCCAGGTTTACATTTGTAAGTTCGATCCCTGGATTTAAATGCTATACCTACAGCAACTGAGAACATTTCAAATAGATTTCATACTTCGCGCTTAGGTTCAGTGTTCTCTTATCATCTTCATCATCGATGGATGCTGCTCCTCCAAAGCCCTTGCGTGCACTGAAAACCTGGGAAGAGTTTATGCCAGGACTGAGTGGCCACAGCTGATCAAGAAGCTGAACTACACTGAGCGAGCCACCACGGCCAAATGCAGGGAACCGTTCCATGTCCCACATCACACTATCCCCTCCCCCAGCCCCATACCTGCCAGGCGAGCTGGCACCTAGAAGCGAACCCAAAGAACCGTTCCAGGCAGCTCATTTGAAAAGGCTGCGCGCAAAGACACGGAGATGAGCACTCGGCCCACATTAATGGCATACCGGGCCCCAAGCCAGCCTCGTGCTTTGGGCCAACCACCCCATACTGTACGCTTCCTTCAATGTCCCCCCCCACCCCCCCACTCTAGTTGAACCCAATGCGTTTGCAGACAACAGTTTTTAACAACAGGACTCCGGTCAACCAGAGAGTGTGCTGGGATTTTGTTCCTGCCTTGTGTTCGTTATGGCTTGGTGGGGGGCGGGGTGGGGAGATGGCAGGATGCTGAGTGCCAAAGGTTCTCCCCCCCCCTCGCCCCCCTGCAAAGCCTCCCATGCATGAGGAACGGATTCGTACAAGAGTGTGGTGTGGGTGCATAGGTTGAGTCCAATTGGATTCAATAGTGTGGCTTGGATTGTTTTTAAAATACGATTCTGAAATGATTGATATCCGATCAATGATTTGGCAAGGAAAACCTGCAAAGTGGATAACATTCAATATGTCCACGTGGATGGGATCGGTCCGATTCACCGAACAGATTGAGATTTAAAAAAAACACGTTGATCCAACAACTCCCAACCCAATCGACAGTACGAATTCCTTTTTGCGTTAAGTTTGTTGTCCTTCCCCGCACCTCCGATTTGTACGGTTGGCTACATTCGGTGCGAAAGAAGTTCAACCTACATGCGTCCATTCACGAGAAATTGCGCATGAGACCACAACTGTGTAGCGGGGCTTTGATTCTCGGTGGGTTGTTCGGCGCTGGCGGTACCTGGGCAAACCGGGCAGCAGGAGCCCTCGTGCAGGAGTGGCTGGCTGCAGGCGGGGACCAGGCAGTCCTCCACCGTGCACACGGCCTCGCCGTTACGGCAGTGGCAGTGGGTGCATGGGTCCAGGCTCCAGCGCTCGCCCTCGCCGTATATTTCATCCACAAAGAAGCAAACCTTCAGCGGCACGACCACCTCTGTGCGTGCGTGTGTGTGTGTGTGCGTGTGCGTGCGTGCGTGTGCATGTGTGTGTGCGTGTGCATGTGTGCGTGCGTGTGCGTGCGTGTGCAAGGGGGACGAGAGTAGGAGCGTAGCGGTTAGCGCGCCGCATTACAAACCCGACGACCCGAGTTCAATTGCCACTTACGGTTGATATCGTTGACAATTATCTGAACCAGTCCTCGGCCTCCCCGAGGGCGACGCAGCCCCAAATGAGTACCTTGTGCGGTATGTTAACATCACCACGAGGGAGACAAAGATGGCCAGGCGCGGTGCTGCCACCCACCCCCTCATGTGCCGTGGTGGCGTTCATAGGTGCTCTGAGGCTATATGGGGGATCTTTGTCTCGTGTGTGTGTGTAAGGGAAGCGGGGGCGAAGCAGTTAGCGCGCTGCGGTGCGAACTTGGTCCCTCGAGTTCAGGTCCCGCTCACGGCCACGAACACCGGTGACGATAACCTAAACCGGTGCTGGGCCTCCTTTAGGTCGACTGAGCTGTAAATGAGTACCGGGCGTGGTGTGTAAACATCGCCACTGAGGAGACAAAGGCAGCAGCTGGCCGTGGGGCCGTGCCAGCTTGCTAATAGTATTTGTCCCAAAAGTCTGTAAGGCTATAGGGATGATCTTTCTATTGGTGTAAGCAATAAGTGGAGCAGTGGCATAGTGCTTAACGTTCTGCGTTACAAACTCGACGATCTGAGTTTGATTCCCGGCCATCAGTAGGGAGTGATATCCAACCTGCACTGACTAATGTGGTGAAATGTGGTCACACAACCCCCGTTACCGACATGACATGGGGATGCATTCATCCAGTGATGTATTGAGAAAGCGATTCAAATTACTTCAGACAATATGTACATTAAGTACGTTACTAAATACGCATGCGCACAGGGTACGAGAGAAAAAAATCCTGCCGGAGGTCTTCTCGGCAAGGGTTTGGCATAGCGACGGCACGCATTCTCCTCAGCGTCGCTCTGTTTACCCAGGCAGTAGGGGCAGCACTGCCCCTTGCGCAGGACCGGGCGCTTGCATGCGACGGGCGGGCACGTCTCGGTGTAGCACCGCACGAAGCCCTCCTGGCACACGCAGCTCCTGCACAAGTCGGGCTTCCAGGCCTCGCCCGCCAGGAACACGTCGCCCTCCTTCGACACGCAGTACACGCTCTCGCTGCCGTTCCCTGGCTGCTGGGGGCTCTCCGCCACGTCTGTTATGATAAAAAAAGCAGCAGCGGTTAAAAGGTGAAGGATGGGTTACGGTCCCCGGATTTTGCCTCGTTTTAAGAGGGGGGGAGGGGGGGGGGCGCCACTTTCGCCGGTAAGGCGACATCATCAGTGCGAGGGCCGCCACACATTTGAGACCATTGGGGGGTTTGACAGCAGCTCGATGGGAGACGTTTCCACTCGTTGTGTATTGTTGGGGGCCGCACCTCAGGGGCCGCACTAAAGACCACCAGGGGCTGCCAGTGGACTGCGGCCCTTGGAATAAAGAACATTGCTCTAGACGCACGTTTCTTCACGTGGAGGGAAAAACTGGAGGACCCCGAGAAACAAAATCCACGCGACCGCAGAGAGAGAGAGAGAGAGACATGCAAACTCGAAACCTACAGCAGGCGTACCTGGGCAGGAGGGGCAGCAGGAGCCTTTGTTGCGGAGGGGCTCGGCACAGAGCAGCGGGGGGCACACCGCGGTGTCGCAGAGCACGCGGCCCGCGTGGCACGCGCACCTCGTGCAAGCGTCGGCGCTCCAGCTCTCGCCCTCCACGTAGTACTCCCCCCCGGGCGCCTGGCACACGGCGTGAGCGGCGCGCGCATCCACGCGCTCGCCCGGCGCCTCGCCTGCGCCGCACGCGCAGACGCGAGAGTTTACTCGTCCGTTGGCTTGTGAGCGCGCACGTGCGTGTGTGTGTGTGTGTACGTGTGTGTGTGTGCGCGTGTACGGGCAGCGGTAGGTAGGGAGCGGTGCCGACCCGACTTTGATTCCCGTCCAAGGCTACCAACACCGCTGACGTTTTATCCGATCTGGTCCTAGGCCTCCCCTAGGTCGACTCGGCCTTAAATGAGCAACTGTACTGGTGAGACAAAGGTGGCCGGGCGTGGGCACTGTGCTGTCTATCATAGGTGCTCGCTAACAGGACAGTCAGTGTGGGCTATGGGGAGATATTTGTCTTTGGAAATCCACATATAGACCTCTCCGTGTAATTTCTAGGTTTGAAAGCACAGTGCATGAACCAATGCACCACCACTTGTGTGCTTGCATTCATAAAAGTACTGCTTATTTATAAATTTACATGTTTGGCCAAAATACACATCCTCAAACTAAATAGCACTCGATCATGGCTCTGTATGCCATGTGAACATTTAAAAAAATAACCCAAATTTACATTGAGCCGCACAGTAAGCCGTTTCAGGTGTTTGACTTCAGTTTGATTCAACAACACGGCCAACATTAATCTTTAATGAAATTACGGAGTTCTTCCAGTCCAGGATATATTTAGCATTACAGTGAGTGCTGTAGGACTTTCGTAGATTATAATTGAACGCAGTAAAACGATTGTGAAAAATTGTGGCAAACTGAGAGCAATCTTAGACAGCTTAATGTGGTTATTCATCAATATGGTTTTCTTTGAAGTCAAAATGGCTGCGCTCAGTGTCGTGTGTCATTAAAATGGAAAAATTGAGAAATGCTCTTCATTCCAACCATTCAAAATTCCCAGAAAAATTCTTAAGCAACAGGGTAACATATACGTTTACAAACACCATGCGACAAAGTACAGCAATTGTTGCGCAACAATAAAAATGAACAAATTAATATCGTGGAGCAGTGCCGCAGTGGTTAGCGCATTGAGTTATGAACCCAAGTAGCTGGGTGAGCCTAATTCCCGGGCATAGCTAACATCATCGGTGAGTGATATCTGAAACCAGACCTGACCCTTCATCTTCAGTCACCTGCACAAACCAACGTGGTAAAGTATGGTCAATCAACCCCATTCACTGACACGGCGTGGGGAGGGCATTCATTCGGGCATTGGATTGACAAATGGCCGAAAATTCTCACCATCATAATTGGGTCTGTGCTGGATTTTGATTGATGGTGATGGGTTAGGGGAGAAGACTTCATATCTCGGTGGATTTGATCGTGGCTGCCGATGACGACGGTGAAATGAGTGTGGCCCCAATAAAGTTTGTGTCAAGATTATTTTTTTGTCATGCCAATCACAGGGCATAAAAACGGGGGGGGGGAGGGAGCAGCGAAACAGTGACCCCCAATTCATTTTTCAGCTCTCCGAGGCTAACGCTCACATTTTTTCAGCACTGGGAAGACTTTCAGATTAGAAGCCTTACCCAAGGCAGCAATAGGCGCATAAAGGACCCTGTTGTTTGCATGCCAAGAAAGTGACAGGACCCTGCAGAATGCGGCAAAAAAGCACAACATCCCAGGCCAAGAGAGCACACACAAAACATTCCAAATGAATAACGGACGCTCTGTTCAGGGACAGTCACTCGCGAGCAAGAACCACTGTCCTTTAAAAAAAAAAGTTTTCATAGGCTTGTGGCAGATTGAAAAGAGAGGGATGGTTTTTTTGTCAGTCCTCTGTGCTAACAAACAAGCAAACCACATTGCTTCTGAAGGCAGATTACAGGAAGTAACACAGAAAGAGACCGACAGACGTTGGTTTATCCTGAACATTAATAATATTTTTGAATAATACAATTTCGGTGCTGCATGACTTTGGGCACACGTTTAGAAAACGTAAGAGCAATGCTGGAACTTTGAAGGCTAAATCTTGTTTTTCCCCCAGAACGCAGGCAAAAATGCGACAAGGGCATTCCGTTTATATTGAGCGTTTGTCCATTGCTTTGTCTAGGCCAGATCAAAGTTGTGCTGCGGGTCAAGGAATTTTGAGTTTCGAACACCACCATCCCTTTCGTAGAGACAGACAGTGTAATGCGCGTCTGAACCATGCTTCACGAATTGGAAATGTGCTAAACAAATTAAGTCGCCTTGTCTCTTGAATCACTCCTTTCGTAATAAAGGGCCATCCCTCTAGAGAGGTGGCTGCCAAATGTTCACACTGCGTGTTGCGAGGCGTGCACAAGGGGTGGCCCGTACCCAAGACCTTCTATATTTACGGTCGCGATTTTGTTGTTGTTTAAAATCTGCACCGCCAACTTAACCTTGGATGTGCATTTGAGAGCATGCCCCGGTTAATTCGGTTGTTTACTTGTTCTGAATAGGGAGAAAGAGGTTTGTGTGCCGAGGAATAATGGGGCGGGTGAAGGCGGCGGATTTGAGTGGGGGGGGGGGGGGGCCGAGCTGTTTAGGGTGTGGGGCGACGTGGGGCTTGGCAAGAGATCGCAAGCGGACGGTGATGTGATGGAAAGACAATGAGGGTGGCACACTCGAAGGGCAAGCCGCCGTGTAACATCGTTGTTTGATACCGATAAAGCTAATTAAGCACTCTTGCGGAGTGTTGCGGGCGTGCGTAACTAAAGCGCAACATACGAACATACTTTTGTTCGTCTCTCCACAAGGCCGTAGGCCGGGCTGTTTTAATTCACTATGTTGTGCTTGCTACTGTATTATTGTGGAGTCAGTCAACATTAACTTGGGGGGCACTTTTTTGACTTTTCTGTGTGACCAGCAGCTGAGAATTAAATAAGTGTTTTAGTTCATTGGCCGATTGGCCTTTGGCAAACGTCAACGGGCTTAAATTTCTGTTCATTGTTTTTCAGTGCGCTGTCAACCCCGTTCAATTTCCAGCCACAGCTGTTTTGTAACTTGCTGACTGGACGTCTGTGAAAAAGAGCTTCACAGCTCATCGGATTCCTCCTCCAGCCGAAAAAAATATTCTGATTCTGACAACGGTCGAGACCAGTGTCGAGCGATATCTGAATCTATGCTCGATGCCTCTTCGCAAACCCGCAAACCGACGACGTTTCTTCTTAAATACGCCGCAGTGTAGAAACACATTGAATCTAGGTCCTGGTTCACGTTTTCACGTCGCCTCTGTGAAACAGCATGCACCTGCGTCTCCGTCAGGTCAGCCTTTTCAACGCGCCTAAAAAGGGAGTAGCCAAGGGGCCTTCTGGAGTTGTTGACGTGCTCCGAGCCGACCAGACAAGCGTGCGACTATCCCACGGTACCTTCCCCGCAGCCGGGGCAGCACTGGCCCGGGCGCAGCTCCAGGATCGCGCAGCGCGGCACGGGGCAGGCGATGAGGGCGCACATCTCGCGCCCGCCATGGCAGTAGCACTCGCGGCAGCCGTCGTGCCAGCTCTCCCGCTCCGCGTAGCGGCGCCCGTCCATGGACAGGCACCGTCCTCCCGCCGCCGCCGCCACCACCGGCGGCGGCGGCGACCGAGGCGACGGTGGCGCCGTGGTGGCGACCGCTCCAGACTTGGCGGCCTCTGGGAGATCACAAAAAAGAAATACGTTGATGGTGTGCAAACAAAGACAAAGACGCCCCCCCCCGTGTAGTCTTAACGGACTGTAGGGGCAAGTGGTGTTAGCGAGCAGCACCCTGGATGGCCAGAATGGCACGCGAGGGGGTGGATGGCCAGCACCACGCCCGACCACCTTTGTCTCCCCAGTGGCGATGTTTATACACACCGCACCAGGTACTCATTTGAGGCTGAGTCGACCTAGGGGAGGCCCAGGACCGGTTCAGATAATCGCCACTGGTGTTGGCCGCGAGCGGGAATCAAACTCGGATCGCCGGGTTCGTAGTGCAACGCGCTAACCGCTACAAGGCCGCTTCACTACTGCTCCCCACATGGTGCACACGTGCACACACACACACACAAACAAGATGGCATAAGAGGTACATGCTCCCGCTTTTTTAGATTAATTGGGAAAATCTGGAAATCGGGCCAGTGTGTGAAATTTCGGATTATCCAAGAAAAAAATATCTCTCTGAGTAATCCGAAGACAAGAGGTCACGGTCCGAATATACCCCAGAAAATGTCAGAAAAATTGTCTTTACAAACCTTAAAGTTACGTAATGGTTCATAAAAAAAAACTCATCCCTTCCCCCAACCTATACATTCTGCTAGAATGTTGAAGACCGTAGAATAGAGGAAGATAATGGTTGTCATTAATACAGCGCATGCAAAAACGACTGTGCAATGCACCAGTACCAAGTACTGCGAGTGAGCACCTATTAGGGCCGTTGTCAGGGCAACACATTGTGGATTGTATCACTGCATCTTACTGGATTTGCCTTCTCATTTCTGACGTTCACAAACAGCAACAGGTATACCGTTTTAGGGTGAGGTTACCCAGGAGAAACCTAGATGGGGGTTTATGTTGTCAGTTGTCAATGATGTTGGGCACGCACATGAATCGAACCCAGGCCACGGAGACGTGAAAGTTCGATTGTAACTTACATCCACGACCACTCTCCACTAAGTTTACATATCATGGTGATGCTATGGGGGGGAGGAGGGAATCACAATCTCATCAAAGCCCCAACAAAATGACAAGCGTAGATTGTTGTAAGTAATCTTCGCCAGTTGTCATATTGGCCTGAAAATATATACGCTTGCGGTACATGTACACGATTTGTGCGTGTTTAGTTTGTTGTCCTTTGCCTGCACATCCAATTAGCACAGTTGGCTAAGCACGGTGCGAAAGAAGTTCAACATACATGCACACTATAACAATAGGTGTTACCCGTTCTGGCGATAAAACAGTTTGTGTTGAGATGTTAAAACACCAAACAGAAATACTTTGCAAAGAATCATGTCACTGCATTAACCACACATACGTGTGGTGAACATGTAAACATGCTCTGGTACATCTTCTTGGTTCTTTCGGTAAAGTCACGTAGAATGAGAATAAAACAATAAAACAAAATAAGACAATTAAATTCTCACGACGTTTCGGCCACAACACAAGTAGCCTTCTTCAGGTGAAGGAACAGAACTGTCGGGACGACAGTCACGTAGAATGAGAATAAAACAATAAACAAAATTAGACAATAAAATTCTCACGACGTTTCGGCCACAACACAAGTAGCCTTCTTCAGGTGAAGCGCTGTCGTCCCGACAGTTATGTTCCTTCACCTGAAGAAGGCTACTTGTATTCTTAGTTTTTTCGGTAAAGTCACGTTGAAGGGAAACAACAAAATAATAAAATATATATAAAACAATAAAAAAATCTCACGACGTTTCGACCGTTTGAGTTATGGTCGAAACGTCGTGAGAATTTTTTATTGTTTTATATATATTTTATTATTTTGTTGTTTCCCTTCAACGTGACTTTACCGAAAAAACTAAGAATATGAATTACTGCAGTCACGAAAGCTTTAAATCAAAATTTAAGGCTACTTGTGTTGTGGCCGAAACGTCGCGAGAATTTAATTGTCTTATTTTGCTTTATTGTTTTATTCTCATTCTATGTGACTTTACCGAAAGAACCAAAGAAGATGAATCCTTGCAGTCACGAAAGCTTTAAATCGAAACATGCTCTGTTAATTATATATGCATTGTCTTTGAAACTGAATGGTCCACACCAGAGACAGCCTTCTTCATGGCCTAGTCTCAAACAGTGTTAGACCAGAGAATACCTAAAGGTGAACAGCCTATTCGGCTTTTTTGTCTCCAGTGTGGACCATTCAGTTTCAAAGACAATGCATATACTACCAGAGGATGTTTTTTGTTTGCATGTTCACCACAAGTACGTGTTTGGTGTTTTAACATCTGGTTTATCACCAGAAAAGGTAAAACCAATTCTTATATTTTGATACTGGCAAGAAGGGTCCCATGTTATACATGCACACACTGCCAAGTCAGTGCTGCATGATGGGAGGTCCTCTAAGTGTGGGTTTGTCACATTTGTCCTGTCAGATGGGGTTTGAATGGATCCATTGGTGCTTTACAATTGATGGATGCTCACAGGTCAAAATGTTAACCATGCCCAGACCCAGACTAGCCAGGTCATGACCTCTACGGTGGAGGGCTACCTTCCCACTCTAAGCAGTTACATGTTAGTCTTAGCCATCAGCCACAAATTAATGATCTGTGTGCTGATCCATTTTGCGAAGAAGCGAGAAGACGATGACTAATGTGGGGAAGTCACGATGAAATAGATGTGTAAACTTGTCAATTACACCCGTTCCTGTCATCGCTCCTTTTCAGAAGTGTTTGGATTTGTTTTCTCTCTCGCAAATTGTAATCCAATCCAAGTGTTATCCATGTCAAAGTTATTAAAAATGTTGCAGCAAGTAGTGTGAACCACCATGTGCAAGATCATGACCCCAGAAGAGTATCTTACAGAACGACTTGTGAAGTCGCTTGAATGGGAACACATTTTGCAAGCACTGAAAATGCTGTTTGTCCCCGATAATGCACCAAATTATTTAACAATAAAATTGCAGTAAGCTGACATTGGATAAGAATGTTTACTTTGTGGAATGGAGTCGATGGTGATCGGCCTGGCACCATTAACTCGCCACGCTTCAGAAAGCAGTTCAATCATTGGTGGCGGCTTGGATTTGAACCAGCCACCTCCAAATATGGGCAAATATTATCCACGATATATGATAATGCATCTCTTCAGAATATGTAATCTATGGCACAAAAATAAAAGTTGAAAGTTATATTGCAAGACGAAGCATTGAGTCATTAAGGTCAATATGATGGAAATGTAATATTTTTCTTTATTAATATTTCAATAGTTTCATAACCTTGCATTCATATTTTCAAGTTCACAATTGTAAGTTTGAATTTTGCTTTACAATCACATTATTAATAATGCCCTTTGTGTCAACATAAAAAAGCTGCCTGAGACGTAACTCTTTTTTTTAAAGGTTCCGTTGCTGGATGCTGGCCAATTCCATGAATGAGTATTTGGCATCATCATCATCAGTCACCATCTATCCACTGCTGGATGAGGATCTCCCAAGCTATGGCTATGTCTCATGGCCTTGCAAGTATTTGGCATGTGAGAGGAACCTCGAGTACCCTGAGAAAAAAATCCCACACATCACTTCGCACAGATAGTTTTAAGAATATATTGCTGTATTTCCATTTCTCACGGTTCAAATGCATTTTAAACCGTGAATGCATTTTAATTATCCCACAATTGCCTGTGATAACATCTGAAGGTCTAAATCCAAGGGCAGAGATGAGCATGACTTCTACAGGGTAGTAATGCCAAAACACAAAAAAATCATAGCAATCGTGGGCTGCAAACATTTTAAGTAGTAATTGCATGTCAGTATGTGTGTAATGTAGCAGTTAGCGCGCTACGCTACAAACCCGGCGACCCAAGTTCGATTCCCGATCACGGCCAACACTAGTGACGATTATCTGAACCGGTCCTGGGCCCCCCCCTAGGTCGACGTAGCGTCAAATGAGTACCTGGTGTGGTGTGTAAACATCGCCACTGGGGAGACAAAGGTGGCCGTGCATGGTGTTGGCCACACACCCCAGTTGCGTGCCATCCCAGCCTTCATAGGTACTTGCTAACAGCACTTGCCCCAAAAGGCTGTTTAGGCTATCTCTGTCTTTGTTGCAGTTGAATAAATTTCGAGCCACTTAAATTATTACAACCACAACAAAAAAAATGCCCCAACTCAACACCTGCATACGGACAATAAAATTTTAAGTTACAAATTTACGATAAGTCACGATAGTGGTTAAGCGTTCTCTCTCTCTCTCTCTGCACGGCTGCACCGTAATGTTGTCGAGAAAAAAAAAGGTAGTGTTTTATTGCAGCACAAAGCGAGTGACATTGTTTTGGTCGTTTTATTGAACCCACATGTAGTGGCGTGAAGCCCTCGCTTCTTTTTTTCCCCTTCTTGAAATGTGGCCAGACAGTTGAGAAATGTAGCCGTTGCTCTTTATGGCTCTCCTGACTAAAAGGCTTTCCCAGAAAAGGAAATTATGAGTTGGAAATGTAAAGTGCAAAATGTTAACAGATAACGGTGGCACGGGCAGCTTGCAGCAGCGAACGGTGGTGGTGTTTTTTTACCGAATTACTGAAACGCATTGCGAGGTTTGCAGTCCAGGAATATTGCTCAGTTTTTTTTTTAGGTTATATTTCATATCAATGTTGGCCTCTTGAAAACGGTTATCAATATAAATATAATTGGTGTCTGTTAAGCGCATGAAGAAGACCAAGAGCATTTTTTTCTCTTTTACCACCGTTCATATGTATTAATGTTGGAGAACATGAACGATGTCAGTCCTACAGCAATGGGCTCATAACACTGACCCAGAGATGGCTTGTGCTAACAGCATCATTGACAATGGCGCAAATAAAAAAAATTCAATGGGATTATTATAGCCAAACTAAGGAATGAAATTCTAAATTTGAAAAATCTCCATAGTGAAACTACACAATCGCGCCACTATTGCTGGAATAAATATGTATTTATAGGTTTTGACTATCTCCTCTTGACACATAATCATGATGCCCTTTGTTTATCTAGTAAAGCCTTACCACTGCTTGAAGCTCATTTACAGGAGGGTCCTACAATGGAATGTTTGACCAATTTCATATGTGATTGCTTGGCATGTGGTAGAAAATCTGAGTACTCCATGCATATGTAGTGATAACTTCCCATTCTCTACACAAATGGATGCAATCCACTTGCTGTACTGTCTCACGGCCACATGGTAGGATTGAGAGTTTGGGAGCTTTGCAAATGTGTGTGATTAGCCAAGCAAGCCTTGCCTACTCAGCACTGGATTACAGGTGTGTGCCCCCACAGCCAGCTGCCATTCCCAGTCACATCAGGTGCTGCCCTATAACCAGAGCAAAAGGCCTTAATCGCAGATGTTTTTGTGTTTTATAGAGGAAGAATTAAACACTGCGGTCTTGCATATTGTACCATGCAGCTGCTTCCTCAGTTAAACACATACGTCGAAAAGCCACCTAACGAACGGTGTCTCGGGGTGCCAACATATGCCCACAAGTTTACAGCTGTGTTTAGAATAACGTTCCGTCGTATTCGAAGCCATTAATATACGGGCACTCGTTAATTAGTCCACCATTCAAACAGCCACGCTGCGGGCATGCACTAACTCACACAGCTGGGCGCTAATGTTTACAAGACAGCTTGCTAACATGCCACTAAACTATTGCTTTCCGTCCTCCAGGAACATTAGAATTCACTTTATTTACTTTCCCTGTAGGTTATATAGGATAAACAGTAAAGTGCCTAAGATTGAAGAGTTGTGTTGCCAAGGTAGCGGTGTACATGGCATAGTCTAAATTACATGCAGCTTCGGTTGTTACTCGGCCGACAAGCCAAGCGTTTCCATCCAGCCGTTAGGCGGTCTGACCGAACGTCCGAGGTCAATGCAAAAGTTTTCTTGACAGCTACAAGGTAAAATTCGTCAACCAACCACAACAAAACTTGCTGCACAATTGAAAAGATCTGTACCTGTTTTTGTTGTTGTAAGTGAGATTAATAAATACATATTTTATTGTTTAATACGTTTTTGTTATTTCAATTGAAAATATGTCTACCGGCATGACTAGCGCACGTGCGTTAGAATTAGTGCTTGTGCGCTTCCACGCGTGTTGTGGACCTGAACAAAATAGATGCTCGCTACATTTGCTGACTTTGCCGGCTTGTCTTAATGTTGCATATGCTTTTGCATGCATGTTGGTGTGATACTGAGTTTCGCTAGCTTTTGTTCATTGTGCAAGCCCAAGTTTATTTTGAACCAATGAATACTGTAATAATAATTTTAAAAATTAAGGTGCTTTTCACATATTTTAAATGGGTGGGGGGGGGGAGTGGCAGGGTGGGTGTGAAAATATATACGTGTAGCTGCACAATTTCATTTTTATTACCTGTCGAATGTAAGGAAAGGAACATTAATATTACATGAATACATCCTCGGTCTAAAATTATGCTCAACAATGAATTGGGTACTGCCTTAAAAATAAAAATATATATGATTTATATTTGATTCCCAGAATCACACAGGAATTTACATTCAAAAAAATATTTCTTAATGAGAATGAATTAGGCTACAACGTGAATGGTCTAAAGTAGCGGGGTAACTCAACATGCAGTCTGCTGACCACGAATTGTGCACAAGGCCGCCGTGGTGCGAGGCCGTCTGTGGAACTGTTTCAGATACGATGTTTTTTTCGCACAAAGCCCTTGCCAAAATGGAAAAAAGAAAAACATACGAACGTCAAAGATGTATCAAAAAACGCAACCTGTCGGTCACAAGATTCCAAACTTAAGCGGCCAGAGGGTTGACTGACGGTGGTCTAGAAAGGCTGGGAACCAATGGTCTAAGATGGGGGTCAGCAACCACAATAACAAGATGAGCGAATTTGGTTTTAAAAAAAAACTCTTTCAAAGAGGCACAGTGCATGAGAGTACAAGACGATGGTCCTTAACAAACAACGTAACGAAGTAGTCCTTAGAGAGCAACCTGGCTCCAGAGACGTGTCTGGAGCCAAGTTGCCAACACACCAGTCTAATGGGGTGACCAACAGGCAACCTGGGAGCAATGTAATCTGAGACACTCTACACGGGTTTCCTATGACGTTTCGATCGCAACACAAGCTTGTTTTGCGAACAAAACGTCGTAGTTTTTTGTTATTTTCTTTGAACCTATCTACGTGACTTAACCGAAAGACCCAAAGAATATGAATTCCTGCAGTCAAAAAGGCTTTAAGTCAAGATTCTACACGGGCTTTGTAGAAATGCGGGCTTTGGCGGAAATTCCTTGGACGTGTGCACGCACTGTGTGACAATATATGCATGGGGAGTGACCGCAAATGATAATGCTCTGTAGGAGGCACTGCAGTCACCTTTGCACCTGCAGAGGTGACAGCCCTTGCTGTTCTCCGTGTAGCCGAAGGGACACTCTTTGTCACAGGAGAAGTCCGGGCATTTGGCGCATCGGCACACCTCGCAGCCATGCTTGTTCTTCCTGGAAAATGCACGGAAAGGACAAAAAACAGCTCCGTGGAACGATCCTCAAAAAAAGGGGAGACCTTTCCAAACTGGAAAAACATACAGACGTCAAGATTTATCGCAAACTGCAACCTGTCACGGGGTTCCAAGTTTAAGCGGCCGGTCTGTCCACAGACAAAGCTTGCCAGAATAAGCAGCTATATTCCCTAACAGAAACAAATATGATTCACTTTGTAGGAAATGTTACATTCTTACACCGTGTTTAGTACAGCTCGTCGGATGGAATTTCCATGGGCTCGCTACGTGTTCCCATCTATTAGGAGTCGGTGACACGGTTAATAGCGCACTACCCTATGAACCTGGTCACATGGGATCAATTCCTGGCCACAGCTAACATCAGCAGCGAGCAATATTTGAACAGATCCTGTGCACCCGTCTTTACCAACCGACAGTCACCAGTGTGGTGAAACAGATATAAGCAGAGTATTTCGATTTAAAGCTTTCGTGACTGCAGGGATTCATCTTCCTGGTTCTTTCGGTAAAGTCACGTAGAATGGAAATAAAATTATCACGCCGAAACGTCGTGAGAATTTTATTTTATTATGTTTTATTTTTATTATTTTATTTCCATTTTACTCGACTTTACCGAAAGAACCAAGAGGATAAGCAGGGTATGTTTTCGTCCATCTGCCTATTGGCTTTCCAGACCATTATTGTCCAAGAACATTCGTTTCAGCAAGCAAACTCTGGCAGAGCCAGGCCTAGTTAACAAATGCTGCTGGTTTACTAAATCTTATTGGCAAGAATACTCCCTAAAAACAAAGGGGCGCTCTTCAACGCAACATGTAAATATTACACACACACACTCATTAACCGTTGATGTGGAGCATTGTGGGTAAAAATAAACGTAGCATCGGTAAAATGATCCCCGTGACCAAACGGCATGGAGGGACGTTCATGCAGCAGTGTCTGCACAGCGTGACTGTGTGTTGCGAGCATGCCCACAGGTAGCCGTGTGGGCAGGTCTTGTAGCAGGCCACCGGGCGGCACTTCTTTGGCCGGGGACGGCACTCGCAGAGCTCACAGCCGCGTGCGTTGAGCACGTGGCCGTGAGGACACTCGAGCGAGCAGCCCGTCATGAGCGCCCTGCAGTGCTCTGCCTCTGTGGGGCAGCACCAATAGCACAGGGTGGGGGGGGGGGGAGTGGTGGAACGCATGCACGGATAAGCAGGGGAGCAGATGAATGGAGATACATGGACAGGCATACAACAACGCGTCATCAATTCATTTATTAAAATCAGTTGCACTAATTGAGAATTAGGATTTACGATTTAACTCAATCATGGTACAAAGCATATTCGGTTAGGTTGATGGGAGCAGACAAATGGAGATGGAAACTAACATCTGACGAAATTAATCTTGAGTAACGGACCCTGAACCATGCATGACAATTAATTGAATTTTTCGTAAGGGACTGAGGGAGTGTGTGTGGGGGGGGGGGGGTGTGAATGACGACATAACGATGCTTCCAATAATTTGTTCAAAGTATTTTTACAGAACTGTGGGTGGGCATCAAGGGTGAGTGCTATCTAAAGGACATTTCGTGAAGCTTGTTCCAGGGATGTGCGTTGGTTGGCAGCTGCAGAAACGCACACACAAGGTCATGCATACATGTGCTCCAGATTACGTGGCTGTGGGAATACAAACAGATGCCGTCTGTGCATATTTCCACCCCTAATCCTTTAATGGTATTCTCCCAGGTTTCAGGGAAGAAGAGAGGGGAAAAAAAGATAATAGAAAAAAATGCACTTTAATCCTATTAGATTAACTATGGGTTGCTTGTCGTTGTACAATGGATGATGGACTTGCAAACCAAAGGCACCACCAGTTGGATCTCTCTTGGTGTGGCTGTCGAAACAATGGGGCAAGTTTCTTAAATCCCAACCTCCCTCTGCTCTGTTCAACCAGCAGTTAGTCGATCTCAGTTCATGTATGGTGGGGTGACGTGTGGGAACCTCTTGCAAGACGTCCGGCAAGCGTGGAAGAGTCGATTAAATACACTCTAGAGCAATGGTTCTTAACCTTGGGTGCTTGCGAGATGCCCTTTCTGGGAGTGCGAGACGTGGCCAGATTTTTTTGAGACGGTAAATCATCGAAACGCAAATTAAGCACAGGCACGTAAGTACAACTACTTTGTTTCATCAAACCTACGTATTAATTAACATTTTTTTTTTTACGATTGAGAACCAAAGGGGTGCAAGCCTGCAGTAAAGATTACTTTAGAGGGACTCTCTAGGGCTGGGCTTTCTGCCAGCGGGGGAATTAGGAAGCAATATCGGGGCCGCACCTTTACCTATATTGGCTATTCCACGCCGTTCTTCTAAGCCAGAAATTCTCATACGACGATTTTTTTTTATTAACCAACCGAGCATTAACATCCTTAAGACGAATTGCGCGTCTGCGTCTCTCTCCGCGTTAAGCGTGTCCCAGCTGTGCGCCCCCGTGGCGGGGGGGGGGGGGGGGGGGCTCGCTCACTCGACTTGCAGAGGCAGGTGCGGCAGCCACCCTTGTCCAGCTTGAAGCCGAAGAGGCAGTCGTCCTCGGCGAGCTCGCAGTGCGGCACCGGCTTGCACACGGGCGGCTGAATCGTGAACACCGTCGGCTCTGAGCACGTGGCAGGAGGGGGGGGGGGGGGCAATGGAAACAAAGGCAGAGGGGGGAGGCGGGGCAACTCAGGTGTCAACACGCTCCCCTGCTGTGACGGTGCGAGCGCGTCACGCGGACAGCCCCTTTCGTCAAACTGAAACTAAAATGAGACTAAATGTGGTTTCATTTGACCAGGCGAGGCCCACGAGGTCACTGGGCCTTGTGACGTGTACGCAACTTAAATGTCAACGCATAACCTGAATGTGACTTAGATGTGCAAGTTAGAGAAATGATATTTGACTGTAAAGACAAAGAAAGTGGCACATATATAACCAGTGGTCAAGACTAAACAAATAACTATATCAACGATATTCTTGGTTCTTTCGGTAAAGTCACGTAAAAGGGAAACAATAAAATAATACAAATATAAAGAAAGAACCAAGAATATGAATCCCTGCAGTCACGAAAGCTTTAAATCAACATTTATATCAACTATTTTTATTTTACCAATGTAAGACCAATTGAGCTATGTAGCTCTTTTTTTCAAAAGCGATCTGGCCACAAATGATAGCTCAACGAAGTGGCTTATCACGTGGAAATTCATTGCAGCCAAATACTCTAGGCGCATGTTTCTAAATTTGGAGGGGGAAAAACTACGCTACCCCGGGGAGAGAGAATATGCAGACCCTAAATATACAGGCATCAGGGTCGCGATCGAACCCACAACCTCCTACAAACCAGGCGAGAGAGGTAACATCTAGACACCATGGCGAGATGTTAACTGCTGTATCAGGGCCTTCCCCATGCCACGCATGTTAAAAGGGCTGTTTGACCATACTTCACCACGCTAGTCAGTGCGGGTTGGTGAAAGCTAGGAGAATAGACATTGAATCATGGAAGAACAGTACTCTCTCTCTCTCTCTGCATGCCATGTCCTTCTCAAATACATCAGCGATCGTGGCATTCCACTTTGCTTTGTTCGTGACATTACTCATTAACTTTATAGTCAGATGCATCCGATTGTTCAAATTGCATATTCACTTAATTCGCTGTTTTCCCCCGGCATCTTGTACCACTAACTTTCCCAGTCAAACATTCAGTACAAAAATGGATTTGCCACACGACCGTCTAATGACAACATTGACCTGTAGGAGTTTTTAACACGTTGCTTTATGTATGGCAGTCGCCCATCCGAATACTAACCAGGCTCAAACCTGCTTAGCTTCTAAGAGATGATGGAGATTGGCGATGATTTGCTCAAAGGCAATGTTTAATGCTGTAATGTTGGTTGTGTTTACAATGTGTCCTGGAGAGCAAAATTGCGTCTGAGCGTCCCCAATTGTATTGACACAGGCAATAACATTGCTTTAACATGTAATTTGATCGAACGTGCACGCCTGTTTCTGATCATTTGTATAAGAGGCTACGGTTATGCAGCCACCCTTGTTAGAGATGCAACATCGGTAGCGCCATATCTTAAGCAGTGCATACAGCAGGGTAAAGGGCTTCTTAAAAAACAACATTAATGTTTCTTACAAAATCAAGTTTTTTCATTTTAACTCCCCCCCCCCCCCCACCATGGTGTGAATCAAAACCGTGAATGCTGCTGAAGAAGATGGGACAAAAATGGAAGATTGCACAAGATATGGCAAGATGCTGGCTTGGAATTGCGCTCGTAGATGACGAGAAGAGCTCGTGCACACGGGGACTAAGACAAATCAGAGGCCACATCATAAATTACAAAAAAAGATCCAACGCAACAACACAAAATTATCCTGGTTTAGACCTTCGACGAAGCTCATGGTCCACCCTAAACCACATCCGTTGCACGGACAATGGCAAATGTGGATACCTGATGCACAAATGTAAAATTATCCAGCATGCGACTGTGGTCATCCAGAACAGACTGTGCAACATAAAACGATGCAATGCCCAGTCCACAGTGATGCACTCTGCTGCTCCTGACAGTTATCTGACTTGACCACCAGAATGCGAAATTGTAACTGTTGCTCTGCATCTACATCAGCCATACAAAAGAAAAAGCAGAGTAAAAAAAAGGTATGTGGGCATTGGCAATATGCATCGTCAAATAGCCAATGGGTGAGACTGATGACAGAATGCCCCGCGAGGACAACTACTGTGGAGATGGAGCGATGAGATCAGCTCATTCACATGAGAGCAATAGATTGTGCCATCACACAGACCAGACCATCACGAGAGCTGGTGTGGGTATAGGTCGAGGCATTCACGCAGCAGTGGATAGGTCACACTTGGAAATAATAATAATGATGATGATGAAGACTATATATATGTGCAAGGGGGCAGCGGCTTTCTTGATTGAAAATATTTGGCACGTTCTAATAGGCATGGAAATAATACATTGTCCTGGGGGACAAAAATAAGACGGCTCCCGATGCGATGACCTCCAAAAAGTTAAATAAAATTTGGGTGGTCGGACCATTCCCATTGGGAAGGCAAATTATATCAGCTTGCGTTTTTAGCATCAAACAGGAGAGCCCAGAGCGTGCGTCTCGCAATGTACTCGCCATGCTGCAAATTTCGAGTGTTTTCTTATCTTCTTCTCTTTGTAATCCCTGGACGTTTTGCATACCGCAATTCATCATGCAGCAATTTTGCCTGTCAAGGTGCCAAGGCAAACAGCTTATGGGACTGCAAAGGGTCGCCATGCAACATAACGATCCTTCAGAGACCCGCAGCTGCAAGTGCAAAATCCCACTGACGTTCCCACCCGCCGTGGTGCCTCACTGCTGCATCTGAAGGTGTTTTGGGGTCACGGTTATGCAGCAAAATTGCATCTTACAGTGCCTCATTATTCCGATGGCGTTTCATGTCAGACAAATAATACTTTTTGGCCGTTAATTTACACACAGTTAATGTTACTTTTATTTAAAAATCCAATCCTGCCACCAAGATTGGATTCATCCCAAGGTTAATTGTATCCCCACACATCTATGGGCACTTCATGTCTCTCCTCCTTCGTTATATCGATAACCATTTCTGATGTTGTTTGCATGAAATTACTCTCAGCATATATTTCTTTCTTCCAGTGGACCGGCACCTGTATGCCAGTGAACTGTGCTAAACCAAGTTCTTAAAAACACATGACAAAATAACGCTAAAGCTAAGCAGATGTTGAGCCTAGCTAGTACTTGGATAGGTGACCACCATGGCTTGCTAGGTGCTGTAGGCCCAGAGCTGGGACGTGTGGACAGGAAGTGGCAGTGTTGAGTGGCACCTTTCATGTATGTCGTGGGTTTTCTCTGAGGTTATCCCATTCCCTCCACATGACAAACACTCAGCAATGATACCAGTTAAACATCCAACTGCAAGACTCCCGCCCCTGAAAAAAATGTCTTGAGAACTATTGAGACTTTAACAGGGAATGTGTAGAAATATAGGTAGATATGTGGAATTTTATTATTATTAATGTTACAATAAAAAAATATCCTTGAGCAATCCATTGCTGATGTGGTTGGACATCAGTAAAAAGTAATGGGGGGGGTTGTTTGGCCTTACTTCACCATCATGGCCACTGAAGATTTATGAAGTGGAGGCCCCAGCACTAGTTCAAATATCACTCTTCACTGATCTGAGCCATGGCCAGAAATTGAACTCGGATTACTATGTTCAGAGTGCAGTATGCTAACCACTGCGCCACCACTCCATTTTTATCTTAATTTCCTTATAAGCAGGGCACAATCGAAGTTGCAACGCTACCTCTAACACCTTTATTTAAATGTTATCCACGTCCAAACGTCAAATATATAGCACGTGCACAAGCCATTAAAGTGTGTGCCGCTCCGAAAACCAAATAGCGTTTCCAAATGTAAGCCCCGTCGTATGCAGTGGCATTTGCACCTTGTTTTTGTTACGAAATGCCTTTTCACAAACTCTCACCTGGATTTAAGCGAAGAATCGATTCAAATCTAAGTGCTATTCACTGTGTGCCTCTGGTGCTGTTTATCAGATCCCACTGGCTCTTTTAAGATGGCTGTGAGAGTGTCGATGCTTGTGGTGCACAGATTGTTTGTTTGTTTGTTCTTTCTTGCTGTTGCTCTCGCACGTGCACAGGGGATAAAGCCGTGGGTTCGAGGCGAGCACGTGTACAGCCGCAAAAATGCTCCAGCGGAATTCCACATCTGCATAAAATCAATTCAGCCGCTCACTTTATCCAGACTTGGGAGCAATTGTTTGGCACTGTACGCCATACCACAAAAATAAATAATTAAAGAAAGCCTTTCGCTTCTTCTCAAAATATGCAGTGTACCCTTTTTAATGCCATGCTGGTAGAATCTTGAAATCTCGTGTATGTGCGATGGAAAGTCAGGTTTCTTTTTTTTGTAGATACAAATGTACAAAATCAACAGCTACCTTGTATGAAAACGAATTTCTGCAAGTGGGAGCCGGTGTAAAAATTTAAAACTGACAAAGAAAAGCTAGGTTTAAAATCGTTTCTTAGGAACAAAAGTTCAAGGCCAATAGCCACCTTTGTTGAAAAGAGAAAATGGCAGGGTGATTCAAATGGGCAGTGTGTTTAGCAACAATACCTTTTTGGAAAGAAAAAAACCCAATATGTATTCACACACACAGGCTTTGCTTGTTGGTTTTCACACCTAACGTTTAGCCCAAGTGCGGAACATCCCTGGTCAGCCCTCACCAGGAAACGTCACCCGGCCCCGGAATCCTTTCGTCCACACGGGCAGCACTAAATCACGTCACTCGGTTCACTCACTCAAACATTTTTTTTGCGTGGGGTAAAAAAAAACACAACTGGTAAAACAAAAAAAATGTGCCCTCTGCTTTTTTGCACGAATATTTAAATTAATAATAAGCATAGCGCTCTATTTGTGTGTTTGTCCACACCTCGGATTAGCACGGTTGGCCACGCACGGCGCGAAATAAGTTCACCGTGCATGCGCACGTGACTACTGAAGCTTTTCGCAAGGAACATCTGCCGCGCTCGCCGTCGCAGCGTGGACGCCAAGTCGCCGTCGCTCCGTCGCAGACGACGCTTTTGTTCCGTCGCTATTGTCGCGCCTCGACCGGCCAAGCGAGAGCACCCATCGCTCGCCACCGCCAATTACTCTCTCGCTCTCTCTCTCTCCGCGGCGTTCCGTCCTGCTCTGGGAGACCTGCTCGTCACATGAAGAGCCCTCCCCCGCCCCGCCCCCAAAACCGCGCCTACCACCCCCCGCGTACAAATCCACAGACAAAAGGACAAGGAGTTTTGAAGAACAAAAAATGTACGGTGTGCACTTGGGTGAAAGTAGGCCACTTGGCAGGGAGCCAGCGAACAATGTACACAACGTAGGCACCAACGGGGACGGAGCGCGCGCGCGCGCGCGCCCTACCAGACGGAGCAGAAACTCCCCGAGCGATCAGGGTTAAGGCAGGACAGCGCCTGGGCATTTCTCCCGCGCGCCGCAGCGCACAAATCGCGTGCGCTCCGACGCGTACACGTGTAAGACAAGCGAGCATTCCTGCGCGGAGTGGCGAGGTCACGGCGGGGCACGCCTTCCATCAAAGGCGGCCTCTCCGCCGCGGCAAGCTCCTCGATCGAAAATTTTAAACGGCCACGGATTCCTCATGCACTCCGCAGGCACCCGAAATGCCACGCCGCGTCGCAACGAGCGTGAGTTCCGCTGCAAGTCCCAGGTCACTCTCTTAATTTATTTAGGTCTCAATCAATCTATTTTATTTTTTTTGCCGACGTGCATACGAGCGTGCAACCTAACACCCTTGTTAAGCGGTGCCATTTGGGTGTCAAAACGATTCTTTGTCGGGAAAAAAAAATGGTAAAGCCGTCACGTCCAACCCCAAAAAATGGTAATGACGTGTAGCTACACTCGGAGTGACAGATATGGGTAAGGTTGGCTTAGTGCTGGTGACTTTTTCGTTTTCCGTACAGAATGCTTTTGACGGGATGTCTTCGCAGGTGAACTCTATGTGCGTGCTTACATTTATCTCAGCAGACAAGGCACTTTGCAGCTAATACACTTGTAATATTTTGGCACTTTCTCAGTAATGTTCATGGTTTCTTTTCCCTCTCACTTCATACTCATTGACAAATTGGGAAATATATCTCTTCTTTATATTTGATTAAATTTCTACTTACGAGTACCCCAATCAAAGTTTATTACGTGATAATAGTGATAATCTTTGCATGCAGGCTTTCATGACCATTATTATTCATGATTAAAAAAAAACGTGAGGTCGCGTCAATGTAAAAGTGTCATACCAGCATCATCTGACAAAATGCCAAGTGGTGCAGGTTGTAATCACCAGCAAAACGTCGTACTCATTTGTAAACGTGTTGTGGGTTTTGCTCTCTAACACACAACCGGTGGTGCTGAAGTAGTAACACATTGGCACGTTCTGTTCGCGTAACAAACCATACTTATTGGCTGTGTCGGGTGGAGGTGGGTGTACACCACTTTAACATTCACGTGACCTCACCCAAAAAGCCTGAGCACGGTTGGCTACGTACGATGCGAAAGAAGTTCAACATACATTCGTTTATACGGTGCTTGAATGCCTCAGCAACTCAAAGCACCTTTCATCTCATCTCAACCATTTGAATGGGCATCCCCAGTGGTAGTTACCTGTGTGCGGTACAAGGTGACTCAGAACTGGCGAGCAATTGAGCATTTTTTTGCCAGCAGGGAGTAATGATTGCTGTAACAATGTAGCCTCCTGCTTGCTCACAAGATCTTGCACCATGCGTGGCCTGCCATTTTCACAACTACGCCCTCACCCTCGGGAACTCCCTCCCCAAGCAACTCAATGTAATTTCTTGTATTATTTAGCCTATTGGTCTCTATGCAAGTCCATGGGCCTGCTTGTTAGTCTATGGTTCTCCATGCAAGTCCAGTGGTCTCTGCACTAGTCTATGGGTGTCCACGTGAGTCCATGTATGTAAGTAAGTAGGCACGTATGTTAGAAATCATAACCTTTGAATAACATTACCAATATTCTTAGCTCTTTCGGTAAAGTCACGTTGAAGAGAAACAATAAAATAATAAAATATATATATATTCAACGTGACTTTACCGAAAGAGCTAAGAATATGGATTACTGCAGTCACGAAAGCTTTAAATCAAAATTGAACATGACCAATGTTAATACTTTTTAATGGGAAGATAGATTTTGAGGTGAATGCTATCCAAAACAATTTTGTCAGGTAGGAGAGTTGGGCGGGGGGGGGGGGGTGACGAGGGCAGGGGTTGGGGGGAGCGTGAAGGTGGTGGTGGGGGGGCTGATGGCTCACCCTCACAGACGGGGCAGCACTCTCCGGGCACGGAGATGGGCTTGAGGCAGGACACCTGGCAGGAGGCGGCCGTACAGTGCTGTTCGCCGCTCACGCACTGGCAGAACGTGCAGTCGTCCTCGCGCCAGCGGTCGCCATTGGCGCGGATCTGGCCATTGGCGAAGCACATCATCTGCAGCGTCGACGGCCTCGTGTCCATCTCGGGCTCTGCGGAGCGGCGGAGAGAGACGCCTTCGCTCAGAATGCAGAGGGGCCACTCGACGGCCCTCGTCGTTATTGAACGCTGTTTGCGGTTACCAGGGTTTGTGTCATGCGGAAGGATTACGGTTTATGGTTATTAGGTCTGTAATACATTTTTTTTATTCACATCCCTATTCCCCCACTCTCCCAGAAATTCGATGAAGAGTCATAGTTTAGGGTCGAAATCTATTTTTTTAATCAATTCAAAGCAACACTGTAAATAAACTATTTTAGTGTTGCCAGATAATGCCCACTGAGCTTTATAGCTCTTTTTCAGAAACGACCTGGCCACAAATGAAAGCTCAACGAAGTGACTTATTATGTGGAAATGTATAGCAGCCAAATGCTTTAAACGCATGTAGATTCTAAATGCGGAGGGAAAAATCGGAGGACGAGGAGAAAAATCATGCAACCATGGGGAGAAGATGCAAGCAAACTAGAAATATACAGGTGTCAGAATCGGGATCAAACTCACGACCTCCTGCATATCAGGCGAGGTAATTAACATCTCATAAGCATTGCAATAGAGAACAAAAAAAACCTTAATAAATGCAGAACATTACGCAATAAATAAAATTGAGTTGTGGAAAGTCTAAAGTGTAACTTATATTTTGGTGTAGTACATTTTAAATGAGCAAAAAGCTATGGTACAACAAACACTTGCGTTCATACTGCCCAAGGTGTGAGTTGAACTGTCAATTAAACACTGTGTGGAAGGGAATGTTTTTTAAATGTAAGGGAATTTTTTTTGCACGTAGGAGCAGAATTTTGAGAGCAAATTTTCAAAATGTATACAGATATCATAATCAGTAGCAGCAGACGTGTCATCGTCATCATTGTTATCATCAGCATAATCAGCAGCATCATTTTCATCATTAGCATCAGTTGCATCATCATCAGCAGCAGTATCGTTATCAGCATCAGAATTATGAGCAGCAGGAACAAGGAGTATCAATGCCATCACCATTGTCATCATTATCAACGTCATTAAAAGCAGCATCATCACCATCAGCGTGATCGGCAGCTCACCCTCGCACACGGGACAGCACTCCCCATCGGGCACGTAGTGGCGCTGGCACGCGAGCGTGCCGCACTGCGCCGAGAAGCAGAAGGAGACGCCGTTGCGGCAGCGGCAGAAGCGGCACGCGTCCATGCGGTACATCTCCCCGTCGCCGTACTCCGCGCCGTTGAAGGTGCACGTGGCCTTCGTCTCTGCAAGTCAGCCGCTCCTCGGTTAAGCGGGTCACGCCGGAGGCGGGCCGTGATGCCGAACCTAACCCGGCACGGCAGAGGAAGCGCCAGTTTGCTTTTTCCACTGCTAGAGCTGAGCCGTTGTTGGGCAACGAATGACTACAAATGGACGAGGTCGGAAGCGTGTAGATGGCACGGAGACGCTGTAATTGAGTTGCATTCTGGCTGGCGTCACGCACAAGGAACTTATTATTAGCCCCATACCTGGCCCTGCTTGGCCCAGAGCCTGATTCGGATGCCTCGTGAGGCCAGCGTATCACGGTTTGGTTTTGTGGCACAGCATGGCAAACAGCCAGTGGAAAATCACCCGCACCATAAAGACGCCACGCTGGCTTGGCTCAGATGCGCCAATGGAAAAATGGGACTAGGAAACCAGAAGACCTGGCAGTTAAGTGCTGTAATCTAGACTTTGGAGGCAAAGGTTGTGGGTCACATAGAGCTCCCAAACCCAGATGTCAGTACAAGAAATGGATTATTTGTTTTTTTTCGGTAAAGTAACGTAGGTAAAAAATAAAACAAATTAAAAAATTTACCTACGTGACTTTACCGAAAGAACCAAAGAGTATGGATCCTTGCAGTCACGAAAACTTCAAATCTAGAACAAATAGATTATGGATCTATCTGTATGAACCTTTGTGTGTTATTCCATTATATGTATGGGCTCTCTCCGAGTACTCAGAGTTTTCCTCCCAGATACCAAGCACTCGTTTAATTCAGAATATTTATTTATCCTGGAGGAATCCAATGAGCTATGAAGCTCTTTTTCACAGATGTCCAGTAGGGGCGGGTCAGAAAGTTACAAAACAACTAACATTACATAAACACGAGAGGAGTGCACAGTACGGGAAATGTAAGCAAGTCACTAATAATAAATATGAAAATAAATAAAGTATATAAGTACAAATTGTCTTGGATATCCTCTTTAAAACGAGTCTTGAGACTGTTGATGCAAAATAAATTATTATGATTATACCTCCAAGCACACCTGCCCTGTTGTGAGGGGCATTGGCTAACATGTTACCCAGTCTCAACGGACCCTGCGGGCACAGGCACACAGCCCGAGAATCATCGCACAATCATCCATCAGGGAATGTGTGGAGCGAGCTTTGGGCCCTTTTCCCATCTGGCTCATTCATCGATACATCTGCTTATAGCTACGCTATTGACTTCTCCCTCTCTCACACACACACACAAAATAAATTACTTTCCAACTCATTTATGTAATCATGAATTAACATTTGTATTTTTTATCAACCCAGTGTATGCTTTAGCAACCAATGATTACACATCTATTGCAAACTGTACTTGATTTTGAGTAATATTTATCGTTTAACTGCACTGTAAGCCTGATCTGCGTGCGATTCCCGGTTATGGCTAACATTTTTTGCTCGCGATGTCTGAAATGGCTCTCTGAACCCACTGCTGCCCCTTCAGCAACTCGCACTTACTAACGTGGTGAAGTATAGAGAAACAACCCCCATGACCAATACAGTGTCGGGAGGGCTTCATCCACCAGTGGATTGACAATGGTTTGTATATCATTATTACATTTTACTATTAACACGATGGCTTTTCGCAAAATGATATTATGATGACGACCGTTTGTGTTATGGTCGAAACGTCGTGAGAATTTTTTATTGTTTTATATATATTTTATTGTTTCCCTTCAACGTGACTTTACCGAAAGAGCTAAGAATATAATTGAGTTTCTATTGTAGGGCTTTTGGACCATAATGAGCAGAAATGAAGGACTGCTATCCTCGGACAATACCATGTAAATAATTACTTACACTACTGGTAGAATGTCATCAGCGCAAGAAATAGATAACAACATCTGCGGTGATCAGTGCAGCTGTATTCTCTTTTTGTCTTCCCATGTTTTCACTGGACGCAATCATCCACAAACAAGAAGCGTCGTCCATAGCGAAGAGTTGTGGCACAAATAAAAAAAGAGGTTTCCAAAACAAACTTGGAATAGCACCGCCGCTAATTTGAGGTCAACTGTTTCTAAAGTGGCCAATTCAACAACAAAAAACTGCCTTCTCTTCCGTTTGTCCACTTTACTACCAAATCGTCCATTATTCCCAGGAGCCAATTTTCCTTTCTGATTGAAAAATGAAGCCCATTAGGTGGCCTCTAACTGCTGCAGGCATTTGGCACTGGTTAACATTCCCGCCTCCCTCCTCCACAATTTAGGATGATGCCAAGACTGGAATCTTGCCACGGCATGCCGTTTAATACGCTACGTTACCCAGTAACTTTCTCTTCATTAAGCTGTCAAGCATTTGTCTTGCGGTTTCAAACAATGTCGCGCCGCTAACAAAAAAGGCCAAAGAGTCTGTAAACGATCACCAGTCTTGTAATTGTGATGATGCGAAAGGCTTCATACTCACCGTAAAGTTATTTATAGTTTAACATATATTTTTGTTTATGTTACACCAACAACAACAAATACGATTTCGGCGTGAATGTGGCGTTTACACTATGCAAAAGTATGTGTCCAAGTGCCGTATTGATTATACAATACAAATATCATCCACAAACAAGAAGCGTCGTCCATAGCGAAGGCCATCTTGTGCCAGCGTTGGGGGTTGTTTGTTTATAATTCACCATGCTGGTCAGTGTCGTGGGTTTGTGACGGGTCAGGGGTCGAAAGCCACTGATGTTAACTGTGGTCGGGAATCGAAATCAGGAAAGCAGGTTCATGGCACCGGACACTAACCATTGTGCTGCTGTTCAAACCCTGAGCCCTATATTCAATAATGTGGAGACATTTTTTTTTAAATACATATTAATGTACCCTTTAATATGTATGCTATATATGTGCAATTTTTATTTATTAATCTCATTGTACAAGTACTGTAGAAAAATATTTGTATTTTTTACGTGTTTTTGTCTAATATTTTGCAAGCTTATACACAGACAGGCACGTTTCTGTGTGTGCTGAGACACATCTAAAGCTTTTGGTGCATTCACACACGTGAATGTCAAAATGCATCCTTCTTATCTCATTCACACCTATACGTGTGTGAGGTCATGCCTGTTCTTCCCGTGCGTGCATAGACAAGTTAAGGCTTCGTGTCCAATAAAGGTATTTTAGTGGATATGAAATATATTGTATAGGAGTGTAATGATTTTACCCCCCACCCAAACTCCCTCTTTCCTCACTGCAAACCCCGATGGAAGCAATAAATCAGTTGTTAAATTGTAGGGATTGTAACAACCATGAGTAGTCTCGATCATATTTAAGGAATTGGGGTTGTCTGACCATACTTCATCATCCTAGCTAATGCAGGATGGAGAAGAGGAGACCCACCATGACCGGTGCAGACATCACTTGCCACTGACGTTAGCCGTGGCCAGAAATTTAAATCAGGTCACCAGGATCATCGTGCATTACGCGAGCACTTGACGCCTCTCTTTCGGGAATACAGCACGGGGAATGAACTGAGAAACATCCCCTATTTACATGCACCGTTCAATGCACGCCTTATCCACTTAAGAATCGATGTTAACTAAATCAGAGCACGGGTACAACTGTATGTATGCTGTTCTCCGTAATTATCTTCGGATTTAATTCGTTGATCAACAAGCAGTAAACGTGGTCAAAATTATATAAGTTCCCACCTATTGATTGTACTTTCAACGGCCGGGTAACTGATCAATAGCCAATTAGTATGAAATCACTTTTTTCGTTTCATAATTACTTAAAATACTCCGTAAGATGTGAATAAATTAATGCGGTATGAACATTTGCTATAAGCCATCCACACATAAATTTAATGAGGCACTAAAGGTTCTCAATCATACTATTTTAAACTATTAGTAATGCATTAATAATTATTGGAGGAGCGGGGGGGGGGGTGCACTTGATAGCGAACTACGCGATGAACCCGATGACCGGCCACAGCTTACATCAGTGGCGAGTAATAACCAATCATGGGCTCCCCTTTCACTAAGCTGCACTGAACGGCATGGTAAAGTAAGGTCAAAAACGCCCATGGCTGACACAGTGTGGGAAAGCCTTCACCTTGGCAGTCTATTGACAAATTATTTGTTTCCATCGTCATTATCATCAGTCATGTTCAATCCACTGCTGGATAAAGACCTCCCCAATAATGGTACTCCCTCCTGATCTTGCGATGCTATGATCCACTTAGTTCCTAAATGCATACCAACGTCGATGCTCCATCTCCTCGCTTGTGTTGTGGCCGAAACGTCGTGATTTTTTGTTATTTTATTTTCACCTACGTGACTTTACCCAATAGAACCAAAGAGTATGGATCCTAGCAGTCACGAAAGCTTGAAATCTAGAAACGTAATTATTACTTTAACGAATGAACACGTACATTACGTGTTACCCTTCTACTTTCGCATTTTGGCACGGAGAAGGAAAATGGTTTTGCAAGCATTGGTAACACCACAGGCAAACATTCTAAAGGAGCATAAACCATTATGCGAGCTCTGGGCATCATCACAGCGGCTTTTGGCTAGCCACCCAACAAAGATGGTGACTGCATCGCGCTCTTTCAGATGCGATTCTGTGGCTGTCCGGAACGCTCTTCCGATATTAGGAAGCCACTCATTTCTTTAGAACTGATTTTGGTGTTTGGTTTGTTGTCCTTCCCCCACACCTCTGATTAGCACGGTTGGCTACGTATGATGCGAAAGACGTTCAACATACATAGGTATTCATAAAGAAACACTATTTTGTTTTCATCGTGCCACAGAGGCAACCAGTGTAAACGTGTTATTTTTTGCATTCCAAGGCCGCATCAGGATGTTTGCTCTCTGTCACAAGCATCTGTATTTGGTATGGCAGGAACAGGACAGCTTTGATGGTCCAAAGAAATCAACGGTGTTTTTCTCTCTCTCTCTCTTTTGGTGTTGGCGTTGTAGCAATGAAGCCTTAAATCCGCAGTGTATAGAATGATGTGAAATACGACAACATACATTTGGACATGTGCCCCTGCGCCAGTCGTGCGCTATCTACAACTGTGACACACACACACACGTCTGTGTTTCTTGGCGTGGCTTAAACTCGATCTCCAAAATACCACTAATTTTGCTCTCCAGCTAAAAATGTCATCAACAACACAGAAGGGGTGGCTTTGCGAAACTTAAATCCACACATGCACTTACAACGTTGAGACTTTGATTTTGAAAATCAGTGGGTAAGTATGGTTGGGGGAGGGGGAAAAAAACGCCACTTTTTTCAAATTTTCTTGTTGTGGTTTTCACACCTGATGATGATTGCTTGTGTTGCAGTCGAAACATCGTGAATTGTATTGTTTAATATTTTTAATATTTTATTGTTTCCCTTCTACGTGACTTTACCGAAAGAACCAAGAATAAGTATGGGGATTTTGAGGAAAGGTTACGACAATGTAGACAAGACCCCCATTCATAACAACGCGGCATGCCCAAAAGAGTAGGTGATTACAGAATTCCTGTAAATCCTGAGTCCAGACAATGTAACCTTAGTGTGGTAAAGGTCGAGGCACAGCCCTACAATTGCTTGCTCACGCCACTGCTGGTGGAAGGGCCTCCACTCGGGGGAGCTTCAGAGGGCCTTTCTCGTCGAGGGTAGTTGGCGTACATTCCCACACTGGCCGGACGACATGGAAGAGGTGGGGGGGGGGTAACCCAGCACTTTCAGATGCGCTTCTGTGGCCATCGAGAATGTCCCTCCTTCCAATATTGGGAAGCCACTGGATTTATGCACTTTGAAATCTATATTGAAAACTCATTTCTTTAGAACTGCTTTTTCCTATTTGGTTTGTTGTCCGTCCCCCGCATATTCATTTAGCACGGTTGGCTACGTAGGGTGCGAAAGAAGTTCAACCTACACACATAAACCGCGTGCAACCAGCTGATCAACGAACTGTGGCGTAACCATTTATACTGCTGGGTGAACAGAGTTGGGGCTGGTGTGGGTGGGGGGGTGGAATTTAATAAACTTGCCCCATTGTTTCAACCACTGGGGAGAACTGGCGAACATAAAAAAAGAAACACCCCTTGTGAAACGCTTAATGCCAGACAATCTGCAATGATTACTGGACGTATGTGTGCTTCCACTGGCTATGCTGTCCAAGTAGACCCTTTGCCACAGCTGACCACGCCAATTATAATCCCCTCGCTTCCAAGAAACGTACAGCTCAGCGAAAATGCCGGTCAGCAAGGTGTTACGTTCAACCCTTGTTTTGGTCCCCCAGAGGGAAAAGAGTAAGTGTGGCATTGCAGTCAAGGTGCACAGAAAATCAAATAATTCCGCGAAGGTGAAAGGATTGGTTCATGTGTGATGCGTGTTTCCAGTCGTGGTGCAAGGCAAACTAAGCAAATATTAGATGGAATACAGATCCTAATAAACATTTTTTTTTAAACCTCATAATTCACAAAACACTTGAGGTGCATTTTATTGTCTACTGTCAATTAATAATTTGCGATACAAGTTGTGTATCCTGACGAGCTCTTTTTTATTCGTATGGCTTGTGTAGATCAACCATGAGAGACCAAGTTATAAGTGATTTAGCCATTCAATTACTTTGTTAAATTTAGATTTTGGGGTGGAAGGTGACACTGCCGTCTCGCGGCCCACGTTGTTACGTGGAAAATCACGAACGAATGTCATCAAAACGGCGACTGCATGTCGATCATCAGCCTCCCAGTCAATCATCACACCTCCGATTAGCACGGTTTGGATACGTAAATAAGTTCAACATAAATACAGAAAAGCAAAGCTTCTGCGTAGGGCCTCCATTGGGTCACAGCACTGCCACTGCGTACTTGCCAGCAGATTCCATGTTTGTGCTGCGTACGTGGAGGCCAAGAGCTCCCCATGTATGTATGTACGTTGAACTTAGTTCGCACCGTACATAGTGAACCCATGCGGGCATATCCCGTGTGAGTATGTGCGTGCTGTGTAGTGCGTGCTGGCTATGGGCCCCCATGCTGGACAGTACCCACCGTTCGTGCACTCGTACACGTCGCAGCAACTGCCGGGGTTGCCGTCGCCGGCCGTGATGAGACGAGGCTCACTCTCCGCCTCGCATCGAAGCAGCTCGCACACCCCCGGGCACTCGCACCTAGAGGCCGGGCCAGACACAGCGAAGAAGCAGCAGCGGCGGCGGCGGCGGCAGCAGCGGCACATCAGAGAGGCCTTTGAAGATGAGATTGTTGACTTATTTTTTTTTATTTCCTCAAAGTTGTTTTGCCAAAGAAGGCAACTTACGTCGTACGGGCCAAGATTCTTTATTTGTGTAGGACTGGCAACGGAGGGAATATATTGCCGACAAGTTACATTCTCTCAACGCGTTAGCCGCGTTCCAACTGCACGCGTCACCATGCCCCTAAATTATCCTTTTTGTTGTCAACGGAATATTGTTTAATTCTGTGCCACCAACTGAGATCTAAGGAGAATCTCCCTGGCAAGAATAATCACCCACGTTCTGCAAGAAAGCATCCCTCTATCCGTTGTGTTTTTTTTGCTGAATTAAGTTGCTATTCGTACGTCTTTATTTATACTTGTTTATTTATTATTCTTTATCTATACACAGTGGAATATGGATATATGCACACCCCCAGGGAGCTGTGCTTATATACCAAAGTGTTATCTTATCAGAAGTTTACTTATTTACTTCCTCCCCCATCAGTGCAGAAAATAATTTGGTGACTCCGTTGCTGCACTGGCATTGTTGCAAAAGCACGAGCAACAGCAGCAACTCAAACACGTCCGTCATAAACACCAAATAACCATTGTCCGCTCTCTCTTATCTCTCCGGCCTCTCGATTCAAGTGATCTAAAGAAGGGCCATTTCCTGTATGTATGTATACACATACAGGAAACATAACACATTCCTCTCACTTGTGTTTTTTACACAATACTCGCTGTAGAAACACCTTCAGAAATAAAGTGTCAAGCTGTGGAGGTCACCGATTTCAGGATGCCTTTACAAGGCACAATGGTTAGCGCACTGCGCTACGAATTTGGTAATCCGAGTTCAATTCCCGGCCATAGCTAACAGAATCAGCGGCAAATACTCGCAACAATGTTTCGCTTGTGTTACCCAGGGAAGCCTCGCGGAGTCTCAAGATGCTTTTTTTCAGGAGGGTCCTGCAACGTTTTTTGCGGCAGGGGGCGATGTTGCCGTCATGCCAACTGAGTCGATTGCAGGTAAGGTTTCAGCATTTGGGATGTTTGGCTGATGCCAGTTGCATTGTTTGGTTGGTTGGTTTTTTAGCTATCGGAGGAAACCGGAGAATCCGGAGAACACCCATCCAAAACAGGGGGGGAGAGAGAACACACAAACTCCACACGCAAAGGCCCCCGAGGAAGGAATCTCACCTAGGCCCCTTTTAGCTGCGACCCACGCATGTTACCACTGCGCTGCCCTGCCTCCGATACGGTGTACCCCCTCCGCCAATCAAACTTGACCGGCGTAATGGAGTGTGATCAAGCAACGCCCATGACTGATACAGCATGGGGACAGGGTCCATTGTCTGCAGTGGATTGACGAAATGGCTGTACGGGAAAATACTTTTCAAAAGCGGCGGGGAAAACTTGATGAAGACAGCACAGCAAGACCCCTCTGCAGTGAGCAACGCCGGCATGGGAAACGCCAACTTTTGACGAAGGGGCACAAAAGCCTGAGTTTTGGCCACTGTCCGAAACGTGCAGAGCAACTTTTACCATCTTTTCCCACCTCGGGCCGGCGTTTCCTACTGCAGAGGCGTCTTGCAGTGAGTGCTATTTTCATCAAATGGCCGTGCGTTGCTATTCTCATTATTATTCCATCGCATTGTGCGCGGCGCGTGGCCACCGACTGTCACCTGGATGGCTGCGGGCAGCACCCGTCTCCGCTCATTCCGCCGCCGAACACGGCGAAGCTGTCCGGCGGACAGGCCGTGTCCTGCTCGAGAGAGCACGTCTCCTGGCTGCAGTCGAGTCCCACAGCGGCTGGGACGGCAACAGAGCAAACAGCGAAGGGTCACAGCCGCGTCCCGTGGGACTCCCGTTGATGTACCGCCTCGCTGCCAATGAGAACGCGGTGGCATGGCGGCACGAGTGAAAGCGGAATGGGTGGCCGTGGGACTAAAAAAATATAAACTATATACATTTTCTCGCTTTATTTTTATAATACCACGATTAATGTTACCGCGTATGATGTCAACAGTACAAGCAAAACAGTGATCCAGCAAAAACATTAAAAAAACATTTTACAATTATTTCGCTTAATTTTGAAGAAGAAGAATAAGAAGAAGAAAAACCTCTGTCGCCAAAAATGTCATTCATCTACGAGACCATGAGCCAAAAAACTTCATTTAATACAGCCCATGGCTACATGAGGCCTACCACTTTCAAGCAGACTGCAAGTGATATTTATCCATCACTGCCAGCATCTTAGCTGCCTTCATTTGGTACCAGAGGGGATTGATTTTTATCTGCCAACACTAAAGAAAGAGTCAAAGTGATTTTCTGCTCAAATGAGCATTGAGGCGGGGTGCATATCTTCCATCTACAGCCCTGAGCCACTGGTGGAAATTCCTCAAACCTATAATGGAGGATGGGGGTCTATCCAGAGGCCAACCACTGTTGAGCAGTACCTAATTTATTGACCATACAGGGATAACGGGCTGATCCAACACCTAGTCAGGATATGAACTCGCAAACGTCTGATTATGAGCCATTCGCTCAAATGGTTGAGCCACCTAGCAAAAAAACGTTTACAGTTTTTTTCTCACTCAGTCAGTTCTGTCACTGCAAGAGACCCTTTCAGGAATAGAAGTCACTGAAAATGCGTGTGTTAATGTGCGGCCTGTCAAATGTATTTATAAGGCCTATGCTGCCCATGGCAAAAGAATTGCTCCCCACGGCAAAAAAATTCCCCCCACCACTGATCTAAGATGTTTACCAAATATCTTATTATATCATTTTAAACAGATGCAGGAGCTAAACATTCATCAATTCATGAATATACAAAGGACAAAAGCTGGACAAAATAAAAAGCAGTTCTCTTGCAGCGCACTTGCTGGATCTGCACACAGACTTGTGCTGGCTATAGAAAAGGGCCCACCTTATGCAGTTTGCAATTCACATCAAGATGCATGTGAAAACCATGGGAAAAAAAACAACTCGTAACATCAAAAGCACATGAGCGATGCCATAAAATCACGTGAAGAATTTTCTTCGGCTCGTAAATGAAGGTGTCTTTGGGCACCCTCCCGAGGGGGCCTCCGTAAATTTCGCGGGGTTTGACGCATGACGCCACAAACCCAGGCCTCTCACCAGTCCCCCAGGAACTCTCGAGAATTCACAGAAACGTGAACCAGCTGTGCGCAGTTCAGTTCGAGCTCCCAAAGTCAGGTTTCATGATGGTTTTATTTGTTCTCTCCCCCCCACCACTCCCCCGCTGCGTGGCTTTTATATCCAGCTTGGTCAAACTGCCGAAAGCCGAATTGTTGCTCACGGACAATGAATGAAAATGAGTGATTAGTTTCAATGGTTTTTTATGACCACCGGTGGCGATATGTGAGCCTGATTTGAGTAGAAGAAAACATAAAACACTGACTTTCTCCATGTTTTATTTTTAACTAACGGGGGGGAGGGGCAGTTATATGATGCAACATGAATGGGAAATAAAACTAGATGGCCTCAATTATGAGGATCTCATCTGCAATTAAATATACTCTATCGCAATATTAATTGTGACATTGTATTGTATGTCTGATATGTAAGTTGTGTGTCTTATTTTTATTGTCTGTTTGTTCAGTATTGTCCGTCTCATCTGTATCGTCTCTCTCATTTCTAACGTGCGCCCAGCAAATTAACCGCATATAAACAATTTGCTAAGCAATCCATTCTTACGCGCGCGCGCGCACACACATCAATGCACACGTCACATGCCAAAGAATCCATTTCAATTAAGCCTGAGATAGTGGCCGGTGACGGTGGTGGTGGTGGGGGGGGCGCCTATATTTTTCATCTCCCCGTTTAAACGAAGGACACCGCTTTCAACCCCGCAGAGAATCCAGCGCGGAGCGCCGCGCGGGGCCTCTCACCGGCGGTGCAGCCGTACTGGGGGCAGCAGTCCCCGGGCTGGCCCGTGGCGTGCGACAGCAGCACGCGGCGGTGTCCAGGCTGGCACACGGTGGGCACGCAGCGCTCCGGCTCGCACTCGCAGCGCGAGGGACGCGGGCAGCACTCTCCCTCCGCCTGCTCGCCGCCGCGCAGCGCCGAGTCGGGCGGGCACAGAGGGGGCTTGGCCTCGGCGCAGCGCACGCCGTTGCAGCTGGGCGGCACGACTGCAAACGCAACGGGGGAAATCCGCGATCACGGTGCGCTCGCCGTTGCAACTGGGCGGCACGACTTGCAAACATCACGAACACGGTGCCCTCGGCGTCCTGATTGGAATAGGGTTATTACGGTGGTGATGCGCGTGCGGAAGTGTGCCGTGTGCAAGGTCCGTGATTGTATACAAAATGCACGGCAATTGTGTATATATATGGTAGATTTATTGTCGCATCACTGGCTTGTGAGAGATGGAGATGGTGGCTTTGGCGAGGCCTTCAGCCAGCAGTGGATATAATTCTGAAGCTCAGTGACGTAGCTATCCAGTGTGTCGCTTTTTATTCCTCAAGCCAAGGCCCATTCCCACCACACTGATGATGATTAATATGATATGGTACGTTTAGGCTAACGAAACTAGACTAAACAAACGGGACAGAGCATGTGTAACAAACAATAACTGCTGAGACAAAACAATCGTATCAAATCATGACCCCCATATTGAATCCAAGGAATCATAGGGAGTGGGGTTGGATTCTTACATGCCTGGTGCGTGCACTCGATTGTGAACACTGGGGCCTCATTGTGATCGTTAAGGAACACTGATGATGATGATGAAGGTAATGCACAAGCATGAATTATTTTTAAGTGAAAACAATGCATCCCAGGGCGACTCCGGTTCACAGCAATGAGCCGAGATTCTGAGCTCAAATTGAGATTTCGACCACCCGTGGTTAAAGTCAGTCTTCGCCCGTTGTCCTAACTGTTACTAGAACTGCAGCACCACTTTTAATAACCCCACTCTTTATCTCAACGACTATCGTCTTATGTACGATTTTATGATTGCTGTTCAGCGCCTTATCGATATAATATCTAAATAAGATAACAACAAATGTTTACTTAAATTAGCTAAATGCAAACTCTAGCAAATTAAAAATCTCAGTTTTACTGCCACAGAGTAAACATTTTCCAATGTAACAGGGCATGAACAGTCATTTGAATACATCGCAGAAGAAATTCTGCGAATGCTGATTCTTTCGGCCGTTCTATTCTATACCACGGGGGATGGAGCACGGATTGTTGAGCGTAAAGAATGGATCTTTTGTCTCCTGACGTGACTCCAATAGCACAACTGTGATGAAACTGTGAATGCGTCACGGACATTATTCAGCGCTCATCTTGTTATTGCATCCGTGGCTAGGGGAGTGGGACGTGTCTTGAGAGGACGTTCACTCGGTGGAGATGGAGAAATACAGTCAGCTCACTTTCAGGCACTAGATGGATTATTACATACACAGGATTGTGAGAGGAGTCAGCTTGGTGGTGGCCTTCATCTAGCAGTGGATTTACCATGGCTGATGATGACAATGAGCAATTGGAGCACTGTTTCCAAAGGAAAACTACCACTGACTTCTCACCGATATTTCTCATTCGGCGGTGGCTCTTTGATTAACCAGCAGGCATCCATCCGGGCCAGGATTTGAACTCACGATCGCACGCTTGAGTGTCTACTGTTCTAACAATAGAGCCACTATCTGGCTCTAGAAAGAAAAAAAAGCACGATCGATTATTGTGATGGATGACAATACATAGCGAGTGTTATGCTTCATAATTGGTTCAGAAATTCCAAAATCCCATGGTGCCAAAAGAAAATTGTGAAAACTTCTCCAAGGCACGAGATGTAACATCTGTTACAATTAATGAACGTGGATATATGAGGCTTGGCAAGCTACGTGGGCACGGAGGGTAAGAAATAGAGGGAATCATTTACAAAGTTCCTGTGGGGCAAGGCGATGACAGTCTCCCTTTCAGTATAAATACTGCGGCAGGGAAAGACGATGATAAAAAACTAAAACGAGTGAGATATAATACGAGCAAAAAATAGAAACGTTTTAGAATGTGCAGAAACGTTTACGAGACCGTAAGATATCGTGCAGCTCGGCAATCATGCTGCTGTTAATAATAATGTGTGTACAAAGTAAGTTCACATTCAAGTACCACAGTATATGTGTATTTACTCTTCTCCTACATTAAACGAATACATTTTGCTGCTATGTTCAGCTTACACAATACAGCACACATATACAAACAAAGCAATGCTTAATTGTCTGCTTATGGTACGAACAAACAAGACGGTTTAATATATATACCAGAAGTAAAATTGCGGAGTATAATACATCTGAGAGGTCTGTTAGTGAAGGACTTGTAGCTTGGTAATTGTCAAAATATTGGTAAAAAATAATTTACAACTACCTTGGCAGTAATGCACAAGAGCCTATATATATTTTTTTAAATCACACTCACCATGAACACACCGCCTTATAAGAGAAGATAATCATCAAACCATATAGAACATGCCGGGTCTGACCGAGGGGGAGCACAATGGTTAGCACAATGCACTATAAGCCCGGCGGACCCGAATCGGATTTCTAGCTCGGGCTAACATCAGTGGCAGGTGATATCTGAACTGGTGCTGCTGTGGAACATTTGCTTTTTGAAGGCCACTTGAAGGGTTTTTCAGAAAAGTTGCTGTGAAAATCACTTACGCAGCCATTCTCAGGCAGATAGGGCTTCATTGTTCCGTGAGTTTTCCAAATTGATTCTTTATCTCGTTTAAAAAACGTCGACGGGTGTCCCAGGAAAGAGACCAAAATAACAATTTAAATAATTTCATGTTCACAACTCTTGATGTTTTAACAGTTCCCATCCGTGGGTGGTACTACAATACAGAAGGTTGTGCAAAAAATATAGAATCTCTCCTCCATTGGCCCAGAAAACTGCCTGCCCTCCTAAAGCTTAACTTGTATGGCGCACGGAAGCGGGGCATTTCATTTTTTTCTAAGGGGTCTGTTTATAACCCCACCTCCCGCCCCCACAGGTATGCATGCCCGCTTAATGGGAACAGCCAGGCTTCTGCACAAGCCATCACTGTAGAGCCACGCTCACAGAACAACTGATTAACAACGGGATACGCACACGGCATCTCCCAAGGAACCCAGGTCATTGAAAGAACACATTGTGCTTTTTTTCTTGTTTTGATTAATGCTCAGCAGAATCTCGGTTGCTCGTAGTCGTTTCTGTTTTTCTCTCCCCGTGACTGCACTGGCACTAGGAAGAGCATCGGCTGCATGCGCCGGAGATGCGGTATCACGCCTTTGACCGAACGGCTGGGCAGCCACGCAGCAGCGCATTAAATGCTTACGGGCACGAAGCTGCAAAAATAGGTAGCGCCTTGTCCTTTGGTCATATACTTTAACAGCTCCAGAAAATAGCAGTGTGCCAGACAGACCCTGAAATAGCCGTGCCAAAGGCAGCAGCCAAGATGACAGCTGCTACATGAGCAACGGTGCCGAAACATCGAGAGAATGGACCGACCTCGCGTTCACTGAATATCGTCAAAATCTCACAAATGGGGGGAACATGCAAACACATTCCGGTTGAAACGTGTTCACATTGGACTGCTGTGGTTCTTCAGGATTCCGATTGCTATCTGTTCAGTTTGACCATCGTGCCGTGCCGAAACGCTAATTTGCAGCCGTTTGTCCATCTACATGTCTGGTTAAAGAACTCCCCACACTGTGTTGGCAATGCGTTGTCCAGTAGATGGTAAGATGGCATGCACTACTGTGAAAAGAAGACTTGGGGAAGTGGAGGTAATCTTTCACTAAACTTTTTTTGTTTTACCAGGTAAGGCCCACTGAGCTATCTAGCTCTTTTTCAGAAGGGATCTGGCCACAAATGATATCCCAACGAAGTGGCTTATCATGTGCAAATTTACAGCAACAAAATACTCTACACGCATGTTTCCAAATGTGGAGGGAAAAACAGGAGGGCCCGGAGAAAGATCCACACGACCATGGGGAGAGAGACGTGCAAAACTCCAAATTGGCAGGCTTTAGGGTCGGGATCGAACCCACGACCTGCTGTTTACCAGGCGACGTAGTTAACATCTCTCCAATGTGGCACCCCAGTGATGCAGTGGTTAATGCAATGCCGCGACGAGCCCAGCAACCTCAGTTCGACTCCTAGCTACAGCTAACATCAGTGGTGAATGATACCCGGTCCGGTTGTGGCCCCTCATCTTAACCAAACGGCACTGACCAGCGTGGAGGAGTAGAGTCAAACAACCCCCATGACCAACACAGCGTAGGAAAGCATTCCTCTAGCAGTGAAAGTGCTGGAAATAATTTTAATTTAGATGAAAGATTTTTAAGCCACATGGTCACAATCAGCGGTTTGCAACGTGTGGTCCCCTGGACCAGCAGATGGTCTGCGACGGTCCTCCAGGTGGTCAGCGGGCCTGTGATGCAAATGCAGGTTGATCCGGACAATGATGATTAACGGTCATACCTTTTGTTTCTGACATTAATTAATAATTTACTTATTTTATTTCTAATTACGTGACTTTACCGAAAGAACCAAAGAGTATGCATTCCTGCTGTCACGAAAGCTTCAAATCAAGATTATATTTTACTTATGATATTTTATTTGTTTTATTAGGTTCGGCAAACTACCCTGATTATACTACCCTAACCCTAAAATCGAAATGCCCCACGTAAAAAAATTTAAACCTTATAGCTGCATAAAAAATGTTTTTTACGTTCCGGTAATACGAATCATTTTGTATTTAGAGAGGCAAATGATTGTGTTTTTTCACTAGGGGTGGGGTGCTGTGTGGTCCGCGGGCCAAAAGAGTTTGAGAAACACCGCTCTAAAAGGATTCGTTGAATGCAAATCCTAATCAGTGATATTCAGGTTATTAACAATGACTGTGCTCTTAGTTATCACAGCTGCGATTACTCTGAAGCCGTGATCATTACCTGTGCACTTACCACAGTAAGAGTCACTCTCATACTTTTGAGTGCAGCGTGGGGGACGTGGGGCGCTAGGGGGTGTTACGTTGCAAGACATTTTGGCGCTTCAACTCGATACGTCCTGTAAAAGCATGCGAGCCCTTTTTGAAAAGAGAATCTCTCGTCGTGAGGCCGTGAGATAAGGTGACCCACCCCAGGTAGGTGGTCTGAAAAACGCGCGCGTATCAATGGATCGC